CCCTGCTCAGGAAGGAAAATGAGAAAACAGCTGGGTGGGAGTTTGCCCCTTCACCAAGGTTAACCCCTGCAGCAGAGCCTTTCTCTTCTTCTCAGGTCCAACAGGATTATTTCTTACCTTGGAAGTGGAGAAAATGAGATGACATCCCAGCTGTCTGTCTCTGTGTTCAACCTTTGCACCCCATCATAGACATGTCCGTTTTCATCCAGGCCACAGACCACGTAGATCCTGCTTCCCACACTGACCGCATCTCCCCGCTCCACAGGCTGAACCATAGGACTCATGCTTTCCCACTCAGAGTCCACCAACGCCATGCGCTCCACTTCTGCAATGATCCCTTCATCCGTGTTCCCTCCGAGCACATACAGGTAGAGCCCTACTCCTACAGCACAATGGCTGTTGCGAGACTTCTTCATGGCCGGGCCTTCCAGCCAGCTGTTGCTCAGACAGTTGTAGATCAGCACCCAATCCACACTGTACCACACAAACTCATCTCGGAAATATCCTCCTGTCACGAAAAGGAAGCTTCCTGGAAAGACAGCAAGGAAAAGTATCAGTTACACGAGGGCTGAAAGTTGTTCTTTTCTTTCTACACTGTACCAACAGGCTGCAAGATCAGCTGAGGAAATTACTGCTCTTTTATTAGCTGGCAATTTTTGATACGTGAGCCAGTGGGATGCAGCCACTCCTTCCGAGTCTCCCTGGCGGAGAACCATAGAAGCAGTGGTTGGAAACAGCCTCTGGGGATCACTCCTGCAGGGTCCTAATTGACATGGGACTCGCAACACCAGGTAAGCGGGCCCATGGTTTTGAGCTGCCTTCAAAGTCTCCAAGGATGACCACATGTACATTTTTCTCAAAAGCAACTATAAATCACCATCTGGCAAAACAACCATGAGAAGAAGGCCCAAAGCCAAAAAGATGTGCTGCTTAAAGGCATTTGTTTCACTCCAGATAAAGCTGACGTGAAGAGTCTGATACCTTCACTGCTTCTGCAACGTGAAAAGCATTCAGCCTTGCCTAGCATTCTCCCAGCATTATGCAGAACAAAACCATTCTTTGAACCATTTCTGACCATTTCTGAGTACAAGCGAGGTTTATTTTATTAATATTATAGAAATTATATTATTATAATTATAGAATATAATAATAGAAAACAAACTTCACGTGTACTCAGAAATGGTATGCTGTGTCTCATAGGAGAGGCTGCTGAATTTGCTGCATTTGGGCCCCTAAGCCTCAGTGCGTTGCACTCGCTCAGTCCCAGCTGCTAGCACCACTTGAGTTCCAGCTCTATGAGTTACCTACTGCTGCCACTGCATACTGGGTGAGGTTTCTGCGCTGCAAGGGAGAGCAAGCCTGCCAGGTCCCAGTTTTAGGTTGAAATAGAAATAATTCTTGCTGTTCCTTGTCACGCTTTCCTCCCAGGACGTACAGGGTGTCGTAGCTCCGACTGGTGGAAGGATGCAGCGTCACGTCTCGCCAGCTGGGTGGAGGACAGCTGTCCAACCTCCTGATCAGCCTGGAGAAGGAATCTGCCTGCCCAGGGCGTTTGCTGCGCTTCACCAAGATGTCAAGGAAGGACAAACTCAGAAAACTGACCCTGACTTCAGCCACCAAATCCAAAAAGTCTTTCTCCCTTGTTGCTGGGTCGTCCATTATCCACATCATGATGCTGTCGAACACCACATCTTCTCGAGGAACAAAGAGGTCATCGCTTTTGAGGAACTGCATCAACGTTTCTTTGGGTAGTGCCTTAAATTCCTCCTGAGACATTACGTCCCCCCAGTGGGTGAGAGCCACGTTCATGGCAGATGCATGCAGCTCTATAAAGGCAAAACGCTGTGCGTAGGCCATCAGGCCCAGGCAGTTGGAAACGTGCAGCTCTCTCTCCAGAAATTTCTCACACAACAGTTTCACCCTATCAAACTGAAAAAAATCAGCTGTCTCCAGCAAGCTGGTCACATTTTCTTGACCTATGAGCACTTGGGCTGTGCGAGTGAACTCAAGAAGTGCCTGGAAAGGCGCTGCATCAACCCCTCTGATCACTATGTGGTGCTCAGAGCTCTCCCTCGTGCCCCCAAAAAACATCGCTTCAAAGTAACGGCTGTGTAATGAAAGTGCCCTACGGCTGACCTGAAAAAGTCTCTCTCCGACCTCAAGAATTGTGTCTGCAACCACTTCTGCCTGAGAATCCAGCTCTTTTGGTTCCTGTGCAGACCCCATGGCGGCTGATGGCCGGGCGGTTAATTTTAACTCAGTCCTTACACAGCATTCACTCATGCGAGGGCGCTGGAAATACTATCTGCCCAGCTGGGATAGATGAAGATAAGCCAATCTTGTCCTAAAAATAGAAAGTGCTTTCTGTGCTCCTGCTTTGGTCTTCTGCCTTTCCTGTTGCTTTTAAGCAACGGCAGGAGAGCCGCATAACCCCAAATCGGCAGAGTTAACTGGAATCCACCCTTGCTAGGCAATGTCGAAGTGAATTAGAGGAGCTGTTCTCCAAGTAGGAGAAGAGAGATGAACAACCAAAACATTTCTGAGCATTAACATCATTTCAGGAAATTGTAGATTAATATTGACCCCATTGAGAAAAACATGCACATTACCTTTCTTCCTGCAAACCAAACACTGAGGAAAGGTTGAGACTTTCAGGAAAACGTTCCTGAGTTTAGATCCTTTGCCAGTCTAACATCAAACCCCAGGCTGCACACATTGTTTAGCTTTAAACTTGAACAGAACATAGGGGGAAGGAAATAACCCCCGTCCAAACCCAGAAAGCAGCCACGCATCTAGCCACTCTCAGTGCACTTAGTAGCTGTACTACAAACAGATCACTGACCTCACACAGTGGATTTTCCAAAGCATTCAGATCAACCTGATAAGTTTTTGCATATCTGATAAAGCTTTGCACAGCTTGAAGTAGGGACTCTAATCCTAAGGAGCCTATCCTAAGAGGTCTCAGCCCCACTTCCCAGCAGCTTCCAGCAAACAGGATGGTGCTATGTGGATCAATTGCACTTATTTTCTCTGGAGGCTCCTTATTGTATTTCTGGAAAAGTCACTTCTGTCACGTTGGTTTTATGCAGTTGTATTTAGGAATGAATTCAATACGAGCACACATACACCTAAAATTGATTTCTTGGTTTCTACATTCTTAATTTTATGTACTTTGCTCTGAAATTATTATCCAAATGTCTGCAGAGAAGGAGTCGTGCATCTTGTGATGAAGTTCAAATAACCCAGTAGGAAACCCTGGAATCACATCCCTCTCTAGAATTTATACATGACACACAGCTCCAGGTGGATCTCTGCCCTCTCTGCATCTAAAACTGGAATCCACCTAAGAGAGCTTCCACGGGCCTTCATTACACACTGCACTCCGAACTGACACCAGACATGGTGTGGCGTGTTACTGGTATCAACAACCAGCAGCCTCTCACTCTTCTCAATGCCAAGTTCCCAAGTTCCCTTGTCCAAGACTGCACTGAGACCAGAGAAAAAATTCTGCCCTAAGCACTAAATAAGAGTTTATCTATTGAAGTTGTGCCACTGTGTAAGTGGAGGGGAAGTTCCAACCTCTTCTCAATGATGACACGTGACAAGACACACAGGAATGGCACTAAGCTGCACCAGGCGATGTTCAGACAGGATATTAGGAAAAACTTCTTCAGCACGAGGATGAGGATGCACAAACACTGGAGAGCAGTTTCACACCCCAAGCCTGTCAGCATTGAGGAGGCACAGGGGTAATGCTCTGTTAACTCTGTTAGCCCTGAAGAGCTCAGGCAGTTGGACTTGATGACCTCTGAAGGTCCCTTCCAACTAAATTCTAAGTTTCGCAACATTAGAAAAAGAAAAAAAAGTGTTGGAAGGAGCATGACTGCACAGACAGCTGCATGTCCAGAGCTGTGGAAAACATCCGAAGGATGAGTCCACAGGAGCCTAAAATAATCCAGAGGCACACCTTCATACACACAGTATTTATACACACAATACACCACACGAGGCACAGCTCCTTAGGAAAGTCTCACATACTTGAATTAACTTCAAGTTCACCTCCATTTTAGCACTGACCCAGGAAAAGCTATTAAATCAAGACCAGATACTGTCAGTCATTTCTCATTGATTTCCTGCCTGGGAAACGAGCACAGCTTGTGATCTGGTTGTTTCTGTTTTTGTTGTGTTCACTCATCTCTTGAACAAACACTCTTTAGATTTGTTCAGTGTGCAAACCTGGCAATGGCAGCTGTAGAGCACTTTTATCAGACTAACAATCAGACATTTAGGAACAGTTTAATTCGTATTTATTTGTTCACAACTCCTCAAATCTTGCTACTTGTGAAGAAATAAAAAAAGTTTACTTACAAATCAAATTATAACAAGTGCAACCACAAGTAGATAGCTACAGTATAAAAAAAAATATGCAGTATTTCCAGACACTGCTTCCATTGAACATTAGGATCTTAATAATTCCTCCCCTACAATTCCCACTAGCAAACACACTTCCATGTTTGTATCACCCAGCTGAGACAATAACCTGACGAGGGACTCCAGTCTTTATTTAAAAATTGAGAGCCTTCCAATTTACAATGACAGCCCAAAAGATTTGCAACAAGTGCTAAAAAATACCTTCTTAGCTACATAGCTTGTAAAGGTGATACCATGCAATCAAAGTAATTGTCTTCCTTGTACTGGAGCAGGGAGGCAACAGAGATTAACTCACCATGAGGAAGCCTAAAACACGATGCAAAATGCTCCCCAGCTGAGTACTGACATCTAAGAGGGAAAAAAAACAAGTTCCAATGTATTCAGATTAATTCAAATACATTCTAATGTACTTAAAAATGTAGATCAAATGACCAGCGTTCAGAGAAATATTTACTAATTTTATGTGGTCGTTTCAAGACTCACAATACCAGGAGGGTTTCTGACAATTCATAGGCAGAATATTCTCGTCTCAGCTCTTAATGTAGAGCTTCACATTTATTCCACCCCCCCCCCCCCCCCCCCCCCCCCAAATTAATCAGAACTTGTGCCTTGCACATCACATCTCATTCTCTTCCTGTTCACAAAAAGCCACAAAAATGAAAGTCAACTGCTCTTTCACACTAGTAAACATGCATTCAAACTTCTCTCCAAAAACATGAAACTTCTCACACACTGATCGTTTCCTCCAATGATTTGCACCCAAAAAGTCTTCAACGACAGCCCAGAGCCATTATCCATCTTGCTGCTGAATGAAAGGGTTTGGAATCGCTTCCATTCCATCCTGTGGGCAAATGAGAACCACAGAAGTCCCTCTGCAGACCACAAGTCCCAGCTGACGTGTGTCTTCTGTTAATTTGTATTGATCATCTGGGTCTGAAAAGCAGAGATCTCTAGTTACAATGGAAACTTAAGGAAGATAATATAATAAATTCCATCAACTGGAAAAAAGAAGAAAAAAAAAAGAAAAAACCCACAATTTTTCCAGACTTTTCAGCACTGTTTTATTGAGCACAGACTATTAAAAGTGATGCAGCAGTAATATCTGATAACTACAGCACATTACTGATTCATTAGTTCTCAAAGCAGCACTTGCTACTGAGTGACAAAGTACTCCACTTTGTATGCAAAGCAGAACATAAATTTTTTTAAATAATTCAAAGGTCCCTTCATTCATTCCAATCAAAAGCACAGATACAAGTGAAAAAAAAGAGTGGGAGGGGAAAAAAAACAACAACACTCCCGATTCCTATCTCAAATGACATTGTGGGCAAACATTCTGGGGTCAGTGAAAATCAGAAAACCCTGAATTCAAAGTGCAGTAACCAGAAATCTTTTGGTTGTCTATTCCTAGACCAAACCAGAAGAAGCTGTGCATAGGAACAGACAAACAGCCCAGCAAGAACCAATTCTGTGCTCCTTCAAGTGTTGACATATTCACAGATACAGACCCACTAGAGCAGGACCAGAGGAGGCCACAAAGAAACATGAGGTCTCGAGAACCTCTGTAACACAGAAAGGCTGGGGGAGACTTGTGCCATTCAGCCTGGAGAGGGCACCAGGGAGACCTTATAGCAGCCTTCCAGTACCTAAAGGGGGCATACAGAAAAGGTACTGAGGAACTCTGACAAGGAGTGTAGTGATAGGGCAAGTAGTATGAATTTTAAGCTAAAAGACAGTTATTAAGAAAAAAAATCTTTATTGTAAATACAATATGGCACAGGTACAGACTGCCTGCAGAAGCCTTGGATGTATTCAAAGACAGACTGGGTGAGGCTTTGGGCAGCTTGATCTAGTGGAAGGGTTGGAAATCTGTGATCCTTAAATGTCCCTTGCAACCTAAATCACTCTATGACTTTACCCTGCACTTGTGCAGCCTCGCCTCGACTACTGCATGCAGGTTTGGACACCGCATGTTGTAAGGACATAAAACTATCAGTGTATCCAAAGGATGGCTACAAAGATGGTGAAGGGTCTGGAAGGTAAGATGTATGAGGAGTGGCTGAGGGCCCTGAGTTTATTCAGCCGAGCAGAGGAGGCTGAGGGGAAACCTCATGGCAGCTGCATTTTCTCACAGAGAGCAGAGGGGCAGTGCTGCTCTCTGGGGACAGCAACAGAGACCAAGGGAACGACAAGAGGGTTCAGGAGCATCAGGATTGCAGAGGGCATGAAACAGCTGCCCAGGGCAGTGGGCACAGCCCCAGGCTGTTCAAGGAGTCTTTCAACAACACTCTCAGACACAGAGTGCAGATTTTGGGTGGTGCTGCATGGAACCAGGAATTGGCTTTGATGGTCCTTGTGGGTCACTTCCAACTGCAAATATTCTATGATTTTATGAAAACAAACAAACAAAAAAAAAAAAAAAAATCACAGCTCTATTAGCTCAAAGCAGCCACAGAAGGCTTCAGTTCCATGGAAATGAAAAGAATGTACTCACAGTAGAGTTTACAGGACAGTAAGATAATAACTCTTACTGAAACACTCTTCACACTTTGCACAAAACTGTCATCTCTCCAGCAGTACCAGAAAGTAAAAACCAACTGCCTTTTCTGAAGGGAATGACTTCATTCAAACTTAAAAGAACAGGAGTACCAAATAAGTTGGATAGGAGCTCAAGCAAAGACTAACAAAAGGCCCTGAAGATGATCAGATAGCTGGAGCACATCCCTTAGAGAGGCAGACTGTGAGCTGGAGCTTTTCAGCCTGGAGAATCCAAGGCTCCAGGGGCACCTTAGAGTGGCCTTCCAGTACCTGAAGGGGCCTACAGGAAAGCTACCCTACAGGGGAAGGACTTCTTACAAGGGCATGACAAAGGGAAATGGCTTTAAGCTGGAAGAGGGTAGATATTAGGAGGAAATTCTGTACTACGAGGGTGGTGAGACTGACACAAGTTGCCCAGAGAGGTTGTGGATGCCCCCACCTCGGAAGCATTTAAGGCCAGGCTGGATGGGGTTGTGAACAACCTGGTCTACAGGGAGGTGCCCCTGCCTAAGGCGAGGGGCCAGAGCTGGATGATGTCTAAGGCTTCTTCCAACCCAAACTGTACTATGATAACAATGCTGTACCACAGAAAACGTGGTAAAACTTACTTGGTTTATCTTACCCCCTCCTTTATGCTTAGCTGCTGTTACAACTCTAAGCTCAGGTAAGTCAATGTACAGATTCTGGCCATTCATTCACAGAACTTTCAATTTTCTTTTAAAACCAATTGCTCTTGGGGATAAAGGGTGATCACAGAATGGCCAAGGTTGGAAGGGACTTCAAGGATCATGAATCCCCAACCTACCAAGTACTGTTAAGGGAAAGCAGACTTACATAGACTGTGTATTACTTACCTCGCATATATTCAATGGTACCATCAAGCACAAGGTTCAGTAGAGGGTCAAATCCTTTCAAGACACCACTTGCTATTAAAGACCACATACAACAGAATGATTAGAGATCAAAACTAGAAACACAGCAACACAGAACCATGCACAGGACACCCTCAGTTCTCCAGTTCAGTTCTCTTCTTTGAGCAAGGTTACCAACTAACAGCAACATTAAACAGTGCCCTCTATCAAAATCTAAACGCACAAGACCCCAAACTGTTTCAACTGAAGCTTCATTTCTTTTTTTCCCCAATCAGTTCCAGAAGCATGGATGCCTTAAAAAAAATTTAGAGCTTACTGCCAATTTCATGTGCTTTTCAAGAATACCTCAACATAGCAAATAAGCAAATATTACAAATAAAAGTTCCCTACAGAAGAGGAAAGACAAACTAAGACCAGTGCTTTCCTTAGACAAATATAGTCCAGAAGGACAATTGGAGGATGGATCATCTTAGCTTTATAGGAACGTCCTACACCTGTAGGATATATCATACTAATACCAGCGGCATTAGTTTAAAACAGAACACAATTCTTCAAGACTAGACAGTAAATAAATTGCAGGGCTACACAGAATGAGTTCTTGTACTGAAAAATACCTAATTAGTACCATTAGCATTACTATATTGCTACCAACTTAAATCAAGGAAGAGAGTCTTACAGTCCTAGGCACTACATGAAGATCACATGGGTAATTAACATAATTTTTCTGTGAAGAAAATCTAAACCAACAGATTCAGTGGAATTGTCAATCACACAAGAACTAGAATAAAAGAAAACAAAGTTATCCCACACTTAACAGCACGCATACAAGTAACTTTGAAGATTTGTAAGCATCCAGGCCCACTGGAGCTGTAAATCAGACTTTAAAGACAAACTGAGTTAGTTTTGCAAAGCTCCCACACAGCACACTGTTAATTTTCAGATGAACAAATGGTCTGCAGGTGGCAGTGCCAGCATGCTGGGATGGTCAGATGTAGGTATGGCAAAGGAGAGGAAACGTAACAGCCCCAAAAGCAATGAAAATAGATGCTAAAATATGTTAAAACAAGAAAAGAACTGAAGGAACATATAGTTAAGAGACGAGAAGGAAGATGGGTGAATGAACTGTAACATCTTTCTTTGCTGCTTTCAGTGCACCTTCGCAAAGTCTGGAAAATGATACAAGAAAATTCAAGACAGCAAACAGAAGATGAAAGAAAGGCACACAGATGAAGTGCTCATAAAATTCAAGCAAGGGGATTCACAGAAACGTGAAGAGAAGCTTCCCACCAAAAAACAGCAAACTGCAAGGAACAGAAGCACCCACTAGCCACCATCCTCCCTCTAAAGACAGTGAGGTAACCACAGGAGAGACAGAAGCACACACACAGAGCTGCTCACTGCAGTCACACACAGCCCAGCCCGGTCTCATGCCCACTCACCTTCTCTCCCACCCTGGAACTTCACCCGGATCGTTTTGTCGATGTATTTGGAGAGATCTAAAATGCTCTCCTTCTTCTTCTTCTCCTTATCCTGTAGACGAGAAACAAAGACAAAGTGAATTCAAAACGAAACCTGCTAGATCTCACCGCATCTCCTACTTCGCTACATACATCACAGCGCTTCTACATTTTTTTCTTCCCCCCACAATCCTGCTTGTAACTCTGCCGAAGAAATCGCCCGCAGAGCAAAGTCAGGCACGAAGGAGCGGCCGCCGAGCACAAGAGCACAGCCGCAGGGCAAGGCAGGGCTGCCCACACCACACCCCAGGAGCACCCAACAGAATCACAGCACCCACCCAGAGCTCTCTTAGCTCCTAAGGAGCCCTTACGAGAACAGCTCCAGCACCCACCAACGCCCCCCTCCTCACCGCCATCTTGCCCGCACCACCGCCGCCCCCTCCGACGTTCGCCATTTCATTTACCGCCACCAGAAATGACGTTTCACGTTGACGCGAGCCATTGGCTCCCTGAGGACAGCCAAGGTGGGACTTCCGGTACTTGGTTTCCGAGGCGGAACTTCCGGGGCGGAACTTCCGGGGCGGGTTGCTGGGATACCCGGTGCGGAAGGGGCCTGGCCCGGCCCGGTCAGAAACAAAAGCGGGCGGCGGCGCGGTGGACCCGGCATGGCGGCGCGATGGGCTCTGCTCCTGCTGCTCCCTCTGCTTTCGTTGCCGCAGGTGAGCGGCTGTGCCGGCTTTGGAAGCGCCTTGGCTTCTGTGCCGGAGCTGCCTTGCGGGGGTTGGAGGCAGCAGTTGGGCAGGGGGCGGCTGTGAGCAGAGCTCAGCGCTGGTCCCGTAGCGCTGGCTGGAGCTGTGGTGCGGGTGGGCCTGGCCCCGCTCGGTCGTAGGGCGATCCCTTATTGGGGCTTTAACGATGTGCGGAGGGGCCCGCTGGCAGCAGTGAGAGGGTGAGCCGCTCACCGGGTGGGAATGGCCAACCTCCAGCGTTCTGCTGGAGAGAAGGCGGCACCGTTCATGTTCCGCCCTGCACCCCGCCGCTGTTCCTTGGCGTTGTGCCCATCACGGTTTTTCAGTGCTCCCACGTTAGCCTTCTTTGTTCTGTTTTTACTGACATAGTCGTTATGTTTCTTAAAAACTGGTTTGAAACAAAAACAATTGTTTGACCAGCAGGCTCCTCCAGGTAGTCCTTAAGGAAGAGTACCCTAGCCAGGGGATGAGGCTGGGATCCTCCTAGCTGGGCACTTGGCTTTGGGGTCAGACTGGCTGATAAAGCCCCTCTGAGAAACTGGCTGGTGTGAAACAAAGGTGGCTGCTGCTGAACCCACAGCATGACTTGACTCTTGCGTTCTCCTTCTGTGGTGTGAGAGCAGTGAGGCACTGGAACTGCTGCCCAGAGAGCAGTGGGTGCCCGAGGCCATGAAGGGGGCCCTGAGCAGCCTGAACTGGTGGAGGATCTTTAAGGTCCATTCCAACCTAAACTTTTCTGTGATACTACTGAAGAGCTCTGTGAAGTGAGCTTTCATAGGTCTAATGAATGCTTGTGACAATCCAGATAAGGATAGAACTCTGTATGGTGACATGGTATGTAGCTTTTGTATTTTACATTCTCCTCTTTTGCATTCTGAATGTTTCATTAAACTATCTTAACTGCTTTCTGGGTACTCTGTAGAACAGTATGTCTTCTTGGGTCTTATTAGTGTAGTATCTGAAAACAGTAGCCTAACTTCTCCCTCTTCCTTGCCTGTCATCTCACTGCTCTCTTGCTAGTGATCCTCAGTTATAGACTGAGCCAACTGCCATTGAACTTATGTTTTCCTTACATGTACATCATCTGTACATACCTCAATCTCCTCTTGCCTGGTGCATTTTGTACCAGGTGGACTGCCAGTGCCAGCATGTCATCAACAAATTAATAAGTATTAGAATGGTTTGAGGTCTGGCATGGAGGTCATTGCCAGCTTTGAAAAGGTGACTGCATCAGTGTGGAATGCCAACGAGGGTCTTCTGCTTGAGAACTGATACTTGGAGGTCTTGGCTTCAGCTCCATCTACTGCAGCATGCTGCCTTTCTGTAAGCAAGTTGCTTAGTGAGTTTGTGCAGCAGAATAGCTGCATAACACATTTGAGCAAGCTTTGAACAGCCTGGCTGGGGTTCTGCATTGGTTCTGCTGCAGCAGCAAGAAGATAACTTGCTGTAAGCTCTAATACTTTCCTCATACCCAAGCTAGTTTGTTTAAAACTTGCATGAACAACTCTGGTATTTGTGGTGCTTTTACATCTCTTAGTTGTTTGCCTGTTTATGATTGTATGATGTATGGTGTCTGTCATCTTCACTTGAGGTAAGGAAGAGTGCAATCATGTACTTGCACTTCAGTGGTAAGAGAACCAGTCATTGACGAATGGGGTTATTCCAGAATGAAGCTAACACCTCCACAATTATTGTGTCTGTTTATCTTCAGTGGCTTACTCTTGCCTTGGTAGTTGTTTGTCCACGTCTTCCCCCCAGGAGATAAGATAATTTGGGAGTGTTTTCTTTTCTCGGGGAGAGGGGAAGGACAGTGGGAGATGTGTCCAGGTTTGTTCCTTGTATTCTGATTTATAGCGGGTAAGGGAGCAGTGTGGCTAATAAAGCCTGACTCTCCCAAATCTAGGCACTAATCTGGGAATTCCTGAAGAAGGGTTCGATCTTAAAAGTCCAAGTGCACCAGTACAGTTTCCCCTAGATCATGCTCTGGTATCAGAGTTCCCATTTTTCATACAACTTCCTACTTATTCTCACTATTCCTTCATTGCACTGGTGTTCTGTAACCACAGCAGGTATGAATGAGCCTTTGACCAATGAGGAATATAGTAAGGTATGTGAGATCCTGCTGCTGTTCACTATACTAATTTTCAGGTATTGTACTTAAAATAAGTGGTTAATTATGAAGATCCATAGAGTTGAAAAGACTGTCTGAAGTTCTGGGTTAAAGTGGTTGTTGGCAATTTAGTCACGAGGAGTTGTCACATTGAGTACGAAGCTCTCCTCTCTCTGCAGTGCTTGTTGAATCAGTGCTTTCTTTATCTGAAAGTTTACTGTCTGCTATTTTTGGTCTTCAAGCTGATCCATGCAGTTTGTAGGTGAGAATGTACCTCAACTCTTAGGAATTCTGTTGCGTATCTTGTGTAATGTCTGCTGTAAGAGTGGATGCAGCTCGTGCCTTATTAAGGAGCTGTGCTCCTGAAATAGAGCACAGTCTGACAAATCTCTACAAGACCAAGTTATAGGTTCTCCTTAAATTCGGAATATAACCACTGTATGTTCCAATAAGAAAAAGGTGGTCTGCTTTCAATTTGATTAATTTCTTGAAGAAAAGAAGTGGTAACAAAAAAGACCATTGGCAACTTGGCAATTAATTGTGTAAGTTTTCTTTGTTCCTGTACCACTCAGCTGTTAGAGTTGAGGATATGTCAGTCCTTGGGGTTCCTTACAGAGCAGGGGATGTTTGTTAGTTGTGACTAAGGAATACTTCATTCTCTGTGTATATTTATACAGACCAAATACTGCCAATGATGTAACTATGACTTAGGAACTATGTTCCTAAGCCAAGGACAAAGTGCTGATTTGCTTTTCCTGTGCCATGGTGGGGTTACCACTGCCTGGTTTGTGCTGGAAGTTGCACTGAGGATAAAATTTGTCACTCCCACAAAAGTTTTTAGAGGTTGATTGGTTGTTTAGCTTGTTTTATTTTAGTAGTCAAGCTCCTCAGCCTGTTGTGTTGGCTGAGCTGAGATGGCTGTGAATTTGGAGTGGTCATGGTTCACTTATAGCAAAAAAAGCGCTATCTATATCTTCTCCTCCAGGTTCTGCCTTACAAATTTATAATCCTAATGTGTAAGACAACCTCTCTGTGTACATCCAGACTTCTATGACCTCATAGTGTAAAGAATTGCCTCTTTTAGTGTTAGCTTGTGCTTTCATTATGGAAGGTCAGTTTCCATCTTCATGCGTTGCTTCCTTCCGTGAAAGAACAAAGGTTTGGGTCCCTGTGTGTCAACAGGGCAGAGAGGAACAAACAAGAATGAGCCACTGGTATGGCTCAGTGCCTCATGTTGCAGGTTCTTGAGATGTTCAGTGGGCTGAGCTCCTCCTCCCTACCTTCTTTCGTCATTTAACTCAAGTGTTTTCCAAGCCATAAGTACTGTAAGAGGCAAGAATTGTAAAAGAACTTCAAGAGCTGCTGTTTTTTCCTTCAGTGTTTGGAGCAGGCTGGGGTTGAGCTCCGAACTCTTGGAAGAGAGTCCTTAGGGGGGTTGTGGGAAGGTTGTATAGGATCTGCATAGGAGAGTGATTTCTCACAGGTTGGTCTAGGATATGGTGTGATTTCTGGGAACTAAGAAGCGTAACAAGTGTTGCTGCTGTCCTGGTGCATCAGCTGTCCTGCCTTGACCTGACTTTTGCTATCTGATCCCTAGTGATATAAACAAAGCGAAAGCTGAAGGCATCAGAGCCCTTCAGTACAGGAAAGAAAGAATCTAATGCATGTGACTCTTCTGAGGTGGAAGAAAATAACAAGCTTGAAGTGGTTGTTAACAGACTTCAGAGTTATGCTTTGATGCTCAGTGATAATTGCATTGTAAGAATGTTAATCCGCGTTCGTTTTTGTCCTCCATGGACCATGTGCAACTCCCTACACCCTCGTCTACTTTTAGCCCTGCTCATATGCCACTTAATTCCTCTCATCCTTCATTTTACTTAGCTTTTGGCACATGAGCGCACAGCTTTCTAAAATGTTCTGAGCGTGTCACTTTAGGAATCTTTAACTCTAATATTTCTTTGAAGAACATTCACTGAGCTGTTCAGAAAGCATAGTTGCATATTGCTGTCCTCCGTGTGCTGCTTGGAGATTGTTACTGACTTCCGGTAATACTTAGCTAATGGAAATGTAGCAACATGTACTATACTTATTCTTTCATTTTAGAGATACATAGTTTCTCTCTTATAAATATCAAGACTTCAGTTGTACAAGTTGATGGTTTTTCAGATGCATAAAGCCATTCCACTGCAGGTAGCTTGCTCCTGCAAAACTGCCTGAAGTTCTTGGAGGCAGCTGTATGTATAATATTCAGAAGAGAGCTGCCCTGGTTTCAACTGAGATTTGGGTTAATCTTCATGGGGGCTGTATGGTGGTGTGTTACTGTGCAGAGCTTTGTATAAAGGGTGTTTCAGCTTCTTGTATCATCTTGCCTGTGAGGAGCTTGGGTGGGTGTGTGTGCGTGTGCGCACAAGGATGAGGAGCTGGGAGGGGACAGAGCCAGGACAGCAGACCCAAACCAGCCAAAGGAACATCCCATACCGCATGACTGCGTGCTGAACAAGAAACCTGGGAGGAGGGGGGTCTGCTGCTGCTCAAGGCCCAGTTGAGCACTGGTTGGCTGGTGGTGAGCAGCTGTGTTGAGTGTCACTCATTGAGCGTACTCCTTGATTTTCCCTTCCTTCTCTGTCCCAGTGAGCTATTTTTATCTCAGCATGGGTTTTGTCTTTGTTTTTTTTTCCTCCGTTCCACTGTGGGATGTGTGAGCTGTGCGATGCTGGGCTGCCTGCTGGGTTAAACTACAGCAGCCCTTAAACCCGATCAGATTTGGCAGCAATAAGAAGGAAACTCTTCTGGTCTGGTCTTTTCTCCGCCCCCTCCACAGCAGATGGTGAGAACTTTAAGGTCCCTTCCAGCCTAAGCAAATCTATGATAAAATCAGAGGGCTATTCAACTTTGTTTTGGTGAAACTGGTGCATCAGCCTCATTTGATGGCAGTAAAAGGGGTTTTCAAGGTGTTCATTGGAGATTTATGGAACTCTACCCTCCTTGTGCCTCATCCCTGAAAGCAGTTTCTACAGGTACACGTACTGCCAAAAAGCAATGATGTAAATAAGGCATCGTTGTGAAGGGAGGGATATCTTTCTCTGGTGAGAGAGGTCAGAGACATGATTGCATTTTTGAGTTGAGTATCTAATTTCAACTCTATGCATTCCGTTTGAAATGGAATTATGTGAAATGAAAACGGACTGAAAGTTGAGCCATAATTACACACCAAAACTGTGGTGTGGTGTTTTTTGTTTGTTTTTGTGTTGGTGTTTTTTTTTGTTTTGTTTTTTTGTTTTTTTTTTTTTCAATCTTGAAACCTTTTACATTTCTTTATCACACTTAGAAAAGAGAGAAGGAATCAGGCAGGAGCACTTGCACACAGGGCCCTTTTGCTGCAGGAGCTATAAGATATACTTGGTTTAGATGTTGTACTAAGGGGCGTGGTATAATGGGGAAATACTGACGGTTGTACTGATGGCCTTGGAGGTCTTTTCCAACCTTGGTGACTTTGTGATTCACTTCTTCCTCAATTTTTGATAACAAAGAGCATTTATAATCTATTTTGTTCAGTTAATGTGGAAATAAAGTCACTACTAGCATGTAAATTCCATCTCTGTAATCAGTGGTAGGAAAGCTGCACGTACTTCCACAGTTGTTTTTCTTCCTGGCATCTGGATACCTGGTATTTATCTCCTGGGGCTTGATGTGCAAGTAGAAAACTACATCACCTCCACAAAAATACTTGTGCAGATTCTATACTAGTTTCTAGATTCTACTAGATTCTACACAGATTCTAGTCCTGTAGCTAGCATTCGTTTGGCTTCTTGGTTAGACAGTGGGAGTATATCTGGTGCTCACAAAGGGAAAAAGGGAAGGGAACAAGGGGAAATGGATCCAAGTTGAAGGAGGGAAGATTTAGGTTGGATGTTAGGGGGAAGTTCTTTACAAGGAGAGTGGTTAGGCCCTGGAACGGGCTGCCCAGGGAGGTTGTGGATGCCCCGTCCTTGGATGTGTTCAAGGCCAGGTTGGACGGGGTCCTGGGCAACCTGATCTAAATGTGTGTGTTTGGTGGCCCTGCTGGGCAGGGGGGTTGGAACTACATGATCCTTGAGGTCCCTTCCAACCCGGGTGATTCTGTGATTCTGTGATTCTGTGAACAAAAGAACAGTTTGTCATGAAGAATAAAAAGCTAGGTGAAGATTCCACAGTAAGGGAGTGGGGTTTTTTCTTCTCACTTTACTGGATACTACCAAATAATTGAATTCAGGTAATTCTGGTGGTTCGCATTCAACCTGTGCTAGCCCCTAACTCTGAATTTTGATGTCAGATGACGCACACAGACTTGATGCACTCTGACATAACCAAAATAATAGAGAATTTGTTGTCCTGCACTGTTTTGCAGGAATAGGAAGGTGAAAACATAGAGATATTAAATGGAACTTGTTGTATTTGGAACATTTCTCTGTACAGACAGACTCTGTAATAGTCAAATATGTCATAATTGAGAATGTGCTTAACCTGCTATATTCACTGCATGCTGCCATGTTTACTTTGCTCTGTACTCCCTCTGCAGATAGTGGAACTTTGTAAAATCTTTTTTTTAAGTAAGAAGCAGGCTAATCAACAGTAAGTGAAGCCCATTACTTCTGTACTGCATGTATTGAAAAAAGCCCTATTGAATGCTTGTTGTTTTCAGGTGTACTGTGAGTACGGAATGGTCCATGTCCTTTCAGAGAAAGGGAGCAGCAAAGGCAAGGACTACTGTATCCTCTTCAACTCCCAGTGGGCCCATCTGCCACATGATCTGGGTAAAGCTGTAAGTACCAAGCCAGCCAACTAAAAGAATGTACTCAGAATTGCCCTTGTTGTAGGGGAGAATTCTAATTCATATCTTAGTAAAATCTGAAGCTTGCTCTACTTCGAAAATATTTTCTATCTGTTACAGCCTCCATAGCCTATAGTGGTGATACTCCTTTCTAAGCAACTATTTCAGGTTCAAAACAACAACAACAAAAAAAATACTTCTGCACATGGTGACGAAATAAATGAGAATAAAACTTAACTGTGTTTGGAAAGGAGCTCTCATGTGTTGGTACGGAAAAGATACAGGTTCTTCCTGATACCTGGGTGACCACTAGTGCTTTCTTATTATTTCATTCTTCTCTTAAACTTAGGTATAAGCAATTATGAGCTGTGTCAATTTGTTTTTGTTATCCAAAGCACTATGAACTGACAACTGATTCTTTTTTTTTTTTTTTTTTTTTTTTTTTCCACTTTTTTGTGAGAAAATTGAAGAGTACAGAGACACCAGTAGCAGGAACTCACTTCCTAACAGATGAGAGGAATAGCTAAAATGTGAGGAGGAAACTGTCACTTGCTTCTTTGACCTCTATTATGCGGTGTTTTTGTGTCTGATCTGTATTCGTAGAAGATTCAATTTTGCAGAGATTGATTATACATGACTCAGTTATTCAGACTGTGTAAGCAAGAAGACTAAGTTGAGGGAATCCTTTGTAAGAAGGGTTATATTTCTGTAAGCTAAATGTATATATGTACAAGTCACACTTCATGGGCTTGTTCAAGTGGCTTTAGTAGAAAGCGTACTAAAATCAAAAAAGGAAGGGATCTGGGGAGGTTTTCTGATCTAGCTTTGAAAGCAAGGCCTTAGATTAGGCTATCCAAGGCTCTGTTCATGCTAAGCTTGTGCTCGTGAAAGCCAAAGGCATTAAATATCAAAGTCTTGAATTTATGAATTGTCGAGATCTTTTAAGATCTGAGAGGCTTTTGCTATTATGCTTTTTCAATTCACTTTTACCAGTAAAGTTGCCTCTTAGGTAGTGATTCCATCCATTTATAATAGCACCACACCTTCTGAGAAGATAATTTGGCTGTCAATGTACGTGTCACCTGGCCAAAATCCATGCAATCATACCCTAAATCCAAAGAGAAACACCTGGGTCCCATCAACTTCTGTTGTCATTACAAGCTGGGAGATGAAGGGATTGAATGCAGCACTGCCAAGAAGGACTTGTGTGTACTGGTGGGTGGCAGCTGGACATGAGTCAGCAGTGTGCCCCCAGCCCAGGAAGGCAGCAGTATCCTGGGCTGCATCCAAAGCAGCATGGCCAGCAGGGTGAGAGGTCATCCTCTTTCTCTGCTCTGTACTGGTGAGACCTCACCTGGAGTACTGCACCCAGATGTGGAGTGCTCAGTACAGGAGAGGTGTAGACCTGTTGGAGCACATCCAGAGGAGGACCACAAATATGATCCACGGGATGGGGCAGCCTCCCTGTGAGGGGAGAGCTGGAGCTGTGCAGCCTGAAAAATAGAAGGCTCTTGGGAAAAACTGAGAAGTGGCCTTTCTGTTTCTAAAGAGGGGCTGTAAGAAAGAAGGGGATGGACTTCTTAGCAGGGACTGCTGTGATAGGACAGAGGGAAATGGTTTTGAACTTAAAGAGGAGAATTCTAGATTGGATATGAGGAAAAATGTGTGTGTTTTTTTTTGTTGTTGTTGTTGTTTTTTTGTTTTTTTTTTTTTTTACAATAAGGTTGTTGGAGGCACTGGCACAGGTTGCTCATGAGAAGTGGTGGATGCCCCATCCTTGGAGACATTCAAGGTCAGGTTGGATAGCACTCTGAGCACCAGATGAAGCTGTGGATGTCCCTGTTCATTGCAGAGGAGTTGGAATAGATGACCTTTAAGGTCCCTTCCAACTCAAACAAGTCTATAAATCTATGAATTATCTTACTCTTGACCTGACTGTGCTGTGAAGTTGGTGCCTGGATTACATTGCTTCAGTGGAAGAAGTGGGAGTGCAATGTGCAGACAATTCACATGGTGCATGAAGCTGGTTTGAGAGACTCGGGGTCTGGTTCAGCTGGATCCAGACAGACTGCCCTAGGAGTTACTCTAAGATTTGTGATATTTGGAGCCTCTTGTAGCTATTTTGTGTTAACTTGTCTCATAAAAATTCATGGAGACACATTTCAGTATCTCAGCATGAGCCAATATAGTCCAGAAGAGCTTATGCTGGTTTGGAACCAATGTGCTTCATAGACCTGTCTTTTGTAAATTTTCATTTCTTTTACTCTCTGCTAATCCCAACTTTCTTCCTTAGTGCTCCCTCAGCCTTTCCTCTCTTTCCTGCTCCAGCTCCTCCTTCCCTCAAGTACTCCAGCAATACAATTTAATAAAAGAGGTGCTGCCTGCTGAGCTTGCTCTGTGTTTGTGTTCAGCTCTGATAGAGTACAGCCTTACCTCGAGTTCAGGAGGAGTGGGACAGCCCCTTTCCTTTCCTGGTGGAAAGGAGCCATCCTGAGCCACATGCACCCCAGCGCACTGTCAGCCCTGTGGGGGTGTTTTTCCCCAAGGTCTTTTTCCTTGCTCTTCTTGAAAATTGGGACAATACTACTTGCTACTTTCCTGTTTGCTAGGACCTTTCTGAATCCTCAAGACTGTTGAAAAAAATAGAGAGAGGTTTTGTGACAACATCAGCTAATTCTTCATGTACCCTGGGATTGGTGCCTATTAGTCCACATAGACTTGTGTGTATGTGTAGCAAGTTCTGCACAAGTTTGAGGTTTGGGAGTTTATGATTTCCTCAGTCATAGTCCTCCAACACAGCTCCAGGATCCCAGGGCCCATCAACGGTACTGAAGACAGGCATCTGTGCCTTGTTTGTGCCCCTATTTGTAAAGTGACAGGCCACTATTGTCTCTGGTCCTACTTTTTCTGTTTGGTATTCCCAGCTGACTCATGGCAAGCTGACTGTACCTATAAGGACATGGACACCTGATTTAGATGAATCTCATAGCTCCTTAAAGAATCACCAGCACCATCCTCCTGGCTGGTTGGTCTATAGTTAACTCACAAAAAGACACCCAGAGTCTCTCAAATGTGTCATTGCCAACTGCAAGCACCTTACAGTGCAGCATCTCCGTTACATACAACCCCTGCCTCTTTTCCTCTCCCTATAGTGAGGACAACACTATTGTTTCTCTGAGAATGCTCTATCACTTCAGTATTTGGAAGTTCTAAATTGAGTTTTAGACACCCCCCTGTGCTATTTGCTTTTGGTTAAAAATAAGAATATATTAGAATTTTCTTTCTTTTCAGTCACTCTTGCAACTGCAGGATCAGACGGCATCTGTTTTGTGTTCTCCTTCTGATGTACCTGATGGGGGTTTTAATAACCGAATCCCCATGGTGATGCGAGGGAACTGCACCTTCTATGAGAAAGTGAGGCTTGCTCAGATAAATGGAGCTCGTGGGCTGCTGATTGTTAGCAGAGAGAGACTGGTAAGTCTATTTCTGTCTTTCTGTATCACTGATGCTATAATGTTAGATACTGGCTTATTTTCAGTGATTGTTGTAGGTATTTTCCTTTTTAAGTGCACACATTTTTTATTTTTATTTTTATACATTTCCACATTGCCCAGCTATGAGTGGAAAACAATACAAATGAAGGGAGGATTAATTAAATAAATGAGTATGCTCACTTGAGTAGGCAGAGTGCTGCACACGGCCTCTGTAACATCCAAATCAAGGGCTCAGAATTATCTTTACGTTATATAACATCCTGAATCAAAGAGGGAAGGGCAGTTTCTTAACTGAATACCTTCAGTGGAGTATAGAGTACAAGATTCAGTTGGAGCATCACCAGTGTATGTTTTGTAAAACGAATGTTTTATCAGTGTAGTCAATACTAAAGAGATGTGTTACGTGTAAAAGATATTGCTTGAAGTTTGGTTATTGCATTTTGCTGTTGCAGTTAGTAACATGTTTTACTGGAAGTAGGCATATGTCTTAAATTTATGTTACTGCTGTCATTGTAAGTTAAACTGCAAAAATAGGATTCTTGATTGTAGGCTGCAGTTGTATAATGAATAGCACTTAGATTCAGAGAGTTGTCCACTGCCTTCATAACCTTCTGTCATTGCAGATTTTGGAAGATCATTGCCCAGTATCTTAATAAATAAATCTGTTTTAAGCTGATTTCTAGCCGAATTTCTGAGCTGCCTCTTCGGGCCATGACACAGCAGGACTGGTGCTGCCTGGGATGGGGCTGCTGCCTTGCGCCATGCATGTAATAAAGAGAGCAATGAATTATTCTTGAGTTGGTGCCTGATGGCACTTAGGCCGTGTGAGCGTGAGGATCGCAGCCATTCCCTTTCTCCCATCTCCATGGGAAGCCAGGCAGGAGGTGATGAGCTGGAGGGGGAACAGGGCCCTGTAGCACAGCAGTGGGAGGAGTGCTTTTTCCTTCCCAGAGACCGTGCAGATGTGGCTGAGTGCTTGTTGAATGCTTGTGGCTCCCGTGGCAGAAAGGAGCCCTTCTGATCTTGTCCAGCCCATGAGGCCCTGGAAGCGCATCTCTTCTTGCCAGGAGCTCCTCTAAGCCCTTGCTGCGGTTCCCAGGTTTGCACAGTGCTGGTGACAAGGCCGTGCCCCGTGAGAGTTGGCTGGCTGCAGCCCCGCTGCCAAGGCCCTGCCTGCACATCTGCTCCTGTTCCAAGGTGGAGCATCTTCCTGCCCCCCCCCCCCCCCCTTGGGCCACTGCAGCCCCTGCCCTACCTGTGGCTCTGGCTGCCGCAGGGCTCTCAGTCCTACAGCCTTACAGTCTCTGTCCTTTTCCAGAAGCACAGAGTACTTCTTTCTCAACTGTTTCGTGTCTTCCAATCACTGCTGTCTCTGTGACCCTTCTTCCCTTACCTGGGTCTGAGTTTGGCCCTGTGTGTATGCCACACTCTGGCATCCTCTCTTCCCCCCTCTACAAGGCCCTGTTGTGTGTTTTTCATGTTTCTTTGACTGCCAGTTGTAGTTCTGTTGACTTCTTGTTGTGTTCCAGTGCGATGGGTTGTGCTAATCCCAGAGCAGCCAGCAGCTCACATTGTTCAGCTTGCAGTAAAACTTTCTTGCAAAGGCTTTTAGGAGAATTTCTGAGAATAAAAATGTGGAGCGGAGTAGTCAAGAAGGCGGCCGCGAAGGAGAGGAGAAGTTCTTCAAAACTCTTGGTCATCATGGAATGCTCAGCCATGGAAGCATGGAGAATTGACATGCCTGAGGGGAGGGATGCCATCCTGTGGCACCTGGGCAGGCTGGAGAGGTGGGCCCATGCCAAGCTCCTGGAGTTCAACAAGACCAAGTGCAAGTTCTTGCACCTGGGTTGGGGCAATGGGAAGCACAGATACAGGTTGGGTGGAGAATGACTTGAGAGCTGCCCTGAGGAGAAGGATTTGGGGGTGTTGATGGGTGAAAGACTCAGTGAGAGCCAGCAGTGTACGCTCGCAGTCCAGAAGGCCAACCAGATTGTGGGCTGCATGAAGAGACGCTCCTCTTCGTGCCAGCAGAACAAGGGAGGTGATCCTGCCCCTCCTGCTCTGCTCTTGTGAGACCCCACCTGGCTTACTGCATTCAGTTCTGCGGCTCCAGCACAAGAAGGACATGGTGTGGGTCCAGCTGAGGGCTACGAGGATGATTGGAGGGCAGGAGCACCTTCTGCTGTGAGGACAGGCTGAGAGCTGGGGTTCTTCAGTCTGAAGAAGAGAAGGCTCTGAAGAGATTGAATAGTGACTTTCCAGGACCTGGACGCTCCATACCGTCAGCCTAACTATGCTACCCTAACTTTAACAGTTCATCACTAAATCATGTTCCTGGGAACCACATCCAGACGGTTTTTAAACACATCCAGGGCTGTTGCCTCACCCACACCTCCTTGGGGAGCCCATTCAAGTGCTTAACAATGCTTTCTGTAAAGAAGTTTGTTCTGATATCCAACCTAAACCTCCCCTGGTGCAACCTGAGCCATTTCCCCTCATCCTGTCACTCGTGAAATGAGACCAGCCCTTCTGCGCTGCACACCATGGTTCCTCTTTGTTAGGCAGCTTTGCAGCCACTCCTCCCCAAGGCTGTATGGGTTGTCTGGTGTTTGACCAAAATTTGGGACCTGACACTTGGCCCTGTTGGAACTCATACAGTTGATCTTGGACCTTCGCTCCAGTCTATCCAGGTCTCTCTGTACTGCCTTTCTGCCATCCAGCTGATCAACTTGGCGTCATCTGCAAACTTACTGAGGGTGCACTTAATCCCCTCATCGAGGTTGTTGATGAAGATGTTAAGTAGGAGTGGCCCCACTACTGAGCCCTGGGCTGCACCTCTTGTAACTGGCCATCGGCTGGGTTTAAATCTGTTGACCACTTAACTTTGATATTTTAACTTAGGTGAAAGACTGGTCTTCGTTCTTAAAGCAGAATTGGAGTAGGCAAACATCAGGCACCCCTTCCAACCTTGGCAGTTCTCTGGTTCAGTAGTTTAGTTCTCACCATCTACGCTCAATTCTTTTGTTTGAATGGGACAACCCTTCTGTTTTCTGACGCTGTGACTCAGGGATGTACATCGTGGGCTGTTAACCAGTTACACATCAAAGGTTTTGTGGGACACTCATTAAAATATTATGGTGTGATTTAACCTCTTCCTGTATACTGTCTACAAATTCATCTAGCTTCTCTGAAACATCTGTGATGAAAAGTCTACTGGGCTCAGAAACCTTATCACTTTGAAAGATTGTGTGAATCTGTTTTGCACTTGTCCCAGCAGTTTCAGGGATCATTTTGTGTATGTGTAAAAGGGAGAATACAGACACCAGTGAAATTAAATAACATGATTCTTAAGATGAGATCTTTCTGCTCGGTATGGAACCAAGAAGAGAAGATGCTTTCTGGTTTGTTGTTTTTTTTTTTTGTTTTGTGTGTATGTGTGTGTGTTTCTTGGTTCTTTTTTTCCATACTTGTGTCTGCATTGGAGTGTTAGAGGGGTATATGCTGGGCAAATGAAAGTGTTATGCTTAGGCAGTTTTGAAGTTGGTTTAAGGCTCCGATAGTAGCAGTATTTTTCCTGTTTTGAATTGTGTTTTGGATTAATTTTTTGGTGTTTTGCCTGTGTAAAGGTAACTTTAGGTTATTGTACATTATGTTCCTTTTCATAATATTTTTTAGATTAACAGAAAATAAGACTTGAACTCTTTTGAAGGAATAGAAGGCTTTTGCAGAAATAAATTCTTTTTTGCCTGTTTTGATCTGTCCTTTAGGTCCCTCCAGGGGGTAACAGGAGCCAATATGAAGAGATTGATATTCCCGTTGCACTGCTGAGCTATTCTGATATGTTAGATATTGTCAAGGTAAGCTTGATATTCTGATTTAAACTATTTTGAATTGTTCATTGGTCAACAGAATGTGGAGCTCATATTAGGAGCTCTGGATTGTAAAGAGTTATACTCAAAAAGACAGTTACATTCTATTTTTTAGAAATGCTGTTGTCTTAGGAGGTTGTTTCTCATTTAAGAATAAAAAAGGGAGCCTAGTTCTGAACATAAATACTACAAGCAGCAGAGCTAATGGATTGCTTTAAAGTACTTGCAATAAAGCTTCATTATATAATCATAGAATCCTTAGAGTTGGAAGGGACCTTTAAAGGTCATCTAGTCAAAGTCCCTTGCAATGAACAGGGACAGCACAGCTGGATCATGGTGCCCAGGGCCTGATCCAGACTTGTCTTGAATGTCTCCAAGGACAGAGCATCCATTACAGCTCTGGGCAACCTCTGCCAGTGCCTCACCACCTCACTGTAAAATGCTTCTTCTTTATATCCAACCTAAATCTCCCTGTTTAAGCTTGAAGTCATTTCCCCTTGTTTTATCACAGCAGACTCTGCTAAAGAGTCTGTCCCTTTCTGAGTTTGCTGATTGGAAACTAAATAACTGAAGCTTTGCTAAGGTGGCTTTTGTGAAGTCTACAGTGCTGGTTATGTAAAAGCATCAGGGAGCCCTTGTCAAAGGGGATTCAGTATCTTCGTGTATGAGTTTTTCTGAGTATGGCAAAGTGGTGATTTTAGGTAAAATGTCCTTTTTATATGAGTCAGTTATTTTTATGGGCAGTAAGATACTTTCTAAAAAAAATAAATCCCACCTTGATGCCACTTCTGTTTTTTGTGGACCAAGAGTAAGGGTGTTGTTCTGGATAGTGTCCAAAGGTGTGTCAGATATTCAAATTAAAATACTCCTGTTAGAGGTAAGAGTTTCATCACCAGACAGTTTGAAAACTCCCTGCAAGTTCTGAAAAAGCTGCTGCCCTGACTGCTGGAATTGTGGGCACCTTGTAACCAGGTCACTGGTGCTGAGGACCAGATCCTAATGAAGATGTGGATATTAGAAGTTCAATGATACATGCTTTTCAAACAACAGTAGTCTGTAATAGTAAATCCACTTTTAAAAGTAAGTCGGCCCGCACTTCATTGCAAAGCACTTGTTCATATCATGCACTAAGGAATTTGTTAGTTCAGTGCAGTTAGTACAGCATAGAAAGGGGAGAAGAACAGTTGTTGCTGAGGATCCACTGTCCATGCTGAATATCTCTTTCAGGGAGCCATGCTTTGGAATAGTCCTAAGTTAGTAGTGTCCTTTGAATGCTTTTGGCTTTGTCCTGCCTCTGACACCTAGCTCTGTTTCTGTTTAAATATCTTTTACTAAGGAAAAGTAATACAAAAAGCAAAATTGAGAGATTTAAAGAGCAGGGTGGTTCTTACTAAAGTGTGATTCCCAAATTCCTCCATTTGTTCTTGCCTCTGCAGAGTTTTGGGAGGTCAGTGAAGGGAGCAATGTATGCACCAAATGAGCCTGTGCTTGATTACAACATGGTCATTATATTTGTCATGGCTGTGGGGACTGTGGCAATTGGAGGCTACTGGGCAGGAAGCAGAGATGTGAAAAAGTGAGTACTGGGAAAGTAATGTGCCAGTTTTCTTCTTGTGTTTTTGCCTGGGGTAGGGGGGAACCATGGTGGTGGATGGTAGCTGTGCTGATGAGGGTTAGAGACTCTGCAACTGGAGTTAGGAAGATGTTAGCGTGATGTCTAAGAGCCCTTAAGCCTGATGTGTAATAGTCATGGACAGTGCCTTAATGCTTTACCCTTTAAAAAAAAACAAACAAACAGCCATACACTTGAAAAACCTCAGAAGGAAAATTGGGTTGGAATCTATTTCCTGTTTGGGCTTTTCAAAGATTCATCTTCAAAGATCTTTTGTGAAAATTGTAGAGATGTATTTTGCTGGGCTAGTGTAAAACAGACAGATCAGATGGTTAACACCATGTTCATTTTGGACGTTTTACTGAAATTTTGTGGCTACTTTTCACAAGTAGATGGGGAGGAGGAGATCTATGCTGCACATTTCCAACATTTGCTTTGCACAAGCTGATTCTGTAGTGATTTTCAGTATTCAGAGTTGTTAGTTAATGAAAAATAGTACTCCTTATACAATAATTCAGAGACAACCTGAGTGGAAATACAGGTATTGATGTAGTGTCATCATTCCCCGCCTCGTGTAACTCACTGAAGATGCAGTGCCCTTTATTTTGTTGCAGAGGTAATGGTCTGACTGTAATTCTGTTCCTCTTTCAGGCGATACATGAAGCACAAACGTGATGATGGGGCGGAGAAACATGATGATGAAACAGTTGATGTGACTCCAATAATGATCTGTGTGTTTGTAGTGATGTGCTGCTCAATGCTGGTCCTCCTTTATTTCTTCTATGATCACTTAGGTACTTTTAAAGTTGCATTTTTGTTGACATATCTTCAATAGCACTGGGCTGCTTTTGCTTAAAGAACATTTTTAAGGTAGAACTGATTATGAAACAATTGTCCTCTGCCGTTTGTTCTCAGTGCAATTTAAAACCCTATAAGAAAACTCTGCAGGTAAGCTGTAATGAGGTTGGATTAGGTGATCACAGTAATTCTTTCAATTGTTAAAGCCTTTTATGTGTATAAGAGGTGTAAGTCGTTAAATCTTTGTTTTTTGTCAGAGTTTACCAAGCCTCTACTCTCCTTTCTATTCTTACTGAGTTTGAGGTTTTACCTTTATGAGTGTGGTAAGCTTCTGTTGATTGCCTTTTTGATCAAGTTGAAGAGTCACGAGATATTGACACTCTTTTGTGAGGAAGCTGTGAAAGATGTATCCCTTCACTGTTAATTCGTTTTGTTATTGAGTGGTTTTAAGAGTCCTCTTATGAAATTCCTATGAACTCATAGTGAGAAGATGAGTACTTCACCACAAGTTGCCTCTTCGGCTTATGATTTAATGGTATACTTAAAGAATAGTAGCAAAGAGCTTTTAACTTGTTCAAGTAGATATTGCATGAAGTACACCAGTGTAAAATGTGATGGAGTTAGATATTTAAAGGGCATAAATCTAATCAACAACTGTATGAAATTTCTGTATCTGAATTTAATTTTCACACATGACATTTAAGACTCATTTCTCATTCAGGTTTTTTGATTGGAAAAAAGGATCTCTTACCTTCTTGGACTTACTATTTTTTATTTTTCAGTCTATGTTATCATAGGAATATTCTGCCTGGCTGCCTCAATTGGCCTTTACAGTTGTCTGTCTCCCTTTGTAAGAAGATTCCCATTGGGAAAGTGTAGGTATGTTGCAACTTGAATATTTTTTTTTGTAGGCAAAGGTACATTTTTATGTTGTAGGGTAGGTAAGGGATTTACAAGGTAGTTTCGTGTATGAAAATGTTTTTGAAGAAGCAGAGTAACTCCACAGATAACTGTACCTGTTTGTGTTTCACTTGCAGAATCCCAGACAACAACTTGCCTTATTTCCACAAGCGTCCACAGGTCCGGATGTTGTTGTTAGCTGTGTTCTGTATCTCTGTCAGTGTAGTCTGGGGAGTCTTCAGAAATGAAGATCAGTAAGTGTATATTTTAGTTTCTATACAAGACTGTAGTCTGCATGATGCGGTAAGTTACTGACATCTGTAGAAGCAGACTCCTATCCTAAAATTTAGGCATTACAGTAAGGAAACTAGAAACTTGGACAGAAATCCATAGCTGTTCTTACTGTGCTTTATCTTTGCCTGGTTGGTCTAAGCTACAGAAAACTTTCCCTTGTTAAACCTGAAACCCAGAAAATTCAGGCTTAATTTGGACTGGAGTCCCAGTCAATACTCTGATCTCAGGGGCTTCAGATTGCTTTACAGAAATGATGTAGAACTTTGAATACAAGTTGTATAATTTATTTCTGCAGGTGGTGATCTCCTCAGCATTATTCTGAGAGAAGAAGAGCTATGTCGATTGTCAGATCTTTAGAGAATTGTTTACTCGTACCAGACAGCTGAAAGGAACTTTGGGCAATATTGCTGTGATACTCCAGCAGTTGCAAGGAAACCCTAGTGTTTTGTAACTCAAATCCTACTTCAGTTTTATCCTAGTGACCAAGATTAAAGGAAAGAGCTTTAGTTCTTATAGACTTAACTTGCAAATACAATCAACAAATAGCCCAAGCTGTAGATGTCCCTCAGCATTCAAGGCCTGTACATTTATACATGAGGCAAAGGACCTGAGGACTTCCTATTTTGGTACTCGTGGTTATGTTGACCTCTTCCATACAGGCTCAGAGAATTCCGTGAGGGGAAATAACTGGGAACACTCCTTACCCCATTTTCAGTATACAGCACTCACTAATGAGCACTTCATCAGCTGTTTTTTCACACTTTGAAAGCCAAAAATCTTTGCCAGATCCTTTGTGTCCTTCATGAAGAGATCAAAGCCCAGCACTGAGGGTACAAATGGACAGCTGTATACTTCAGTATTGCAGTACAGCTATCTGTGAGGACTTCCTCCCATTGCATGGTCAGGCACTGGTTTTTTTTCACCTGGGATGTTGCTTAGGAAACTGACCTTTTCCTCTCACTTTTTGTCTAGTGGATATTAAAATCCACTAGTTCTGCAGAACTTCTAGCAAGTGAGTTACTGTCCACTTTAATTGCACATCCTTCTTCCTGCAACTTTATTCCTTATTTATACCAGTGCCTGAAAGAGATGCTTCATGTTTTATTTTTTAGTACCTACCATTTCACACAAATATTTTGACAGCAAGGTTGCAATTCAGCCTCTCTGTATTGGTGACCACTAGTTAAAAATTTATTCCTATTTGTTCTGACATTCTTCCCTTCCCTGAGGTTCCTAGACAGGAGGCTTTCAGCAGTGTTTCACCCAATGAACAGATTTTAGCAGCCTCTGAAAGGATTTGTGACTCTTTTTGTGGATGATTCACACTTTGTTCCCTTTGAAGAGTATGTCAGTTTCAACTTGCCTCCTGAAAGACTGGCATACAAAGATGTATTCCACTAGGATAAGTTACTGTAAATCACAATAGAATGATTCTTCATTATTAACCAAGAATGAATCTTTTTCTATCCTGGTCTTTGTTAGTGACTATACCAACAGCAGCCATGGCTGCATTTTTGTTTTTTCAAATAAGAGAACAGTGTATCTTACCTATGAGACAACGTATGTGAGTAGATTTTAAAATATTCTGTCACAGGTTTTAGTAGAGCTAATTTAGGTCCCTATTCACATTCTCTTTAAACTATCATGACCACAACGTATTGCTAATTTATAATGACAGGTATAATCTCTGGTGTTTCTTCAGAAGCGTTGTAAAACTAATCATTCATGGGGGAAAAAATAAATCCAGGTATTGGAAAGGATTACATTCATAGGAAAAGTAGAATTTGAAAAGCAGCCATTGGCACTAAATACACATGCAAATTTGGTGTGTAAGCTTAATCACACTCTGAGATAGTATTTGTTCAAAGACCCTTTAATTGCTCTGAAGACTGCAGGATTGCACGGATTGGAAGAGGCCTCAAGAGGTCGAGGCCAACTGCTATGCTAAGCAGGCACCCTACAGTAGGTCACACAGGTCGGTGTCCAGATGGGTCTCCATAGGAGACTCCACCACCTCTCTGGGCAGCCTGTGCTCTGTCACCCTTACTGTAATAAATTCTTCTGCATGTTTGTATGGCACTTCTGTGTTCAAGTTTTAGGCCATTACTCCTTGTCTTGTTCGCATGCACTACTAAGAAGAGCCCGACCTCACCCATCTGCCTCTCACCTCCCTTCAGACATTTATAAACATTTGAGATCTCTCCTCAGCCTTCTTTTCCCCAGGCTGCACACAGCAAAGTTACTCAGCCTTTCCTCATACAGGAGATGCTCCAGGCCCTTTATCATCTTGTGGCCCTCTGCTGGACTATTTGTAGGAGATCCCTATCTTTTTTTGCACTGAGGAGCCCAGAACTGGACACAGTATTCCAAATGTGGCCTCACCAGGGCAGAGTAGAGGACGTGGAGGATCACTTCCCTCTCCCTGCTGCCCATGCTCATTTTCATGCATCTCAGGATATCATTAGCCTTCTTACCCATGCAGGTATGCTGCTGGTTCATGGCCAACCTGTAGTTCACCAGGATACCCAGGTCCTTCTCTGCAGAGCTCCACTCCAACTGGTCATCCACTAACCTGGTGCATGTGGTATTGTAACAGATATTGTAATAGATTCAATAGTAAAGAGGATAAAAACAATTAACTTGTCTAAACCAAATCACAGAGTACAAAATACGACTTGTTCTAAAATCTTAGTCTTACAACCAAGAACTTAAAGAATAAATTTCTGCCTACATCTTAGATGACAGATTAAAATATACATAGCTTGGACAAAAACAATTGCAGAATTACAGAATGATTCCATTTGGAAGACATCTTTGGAAATCATGTGGTTCAGCCAAAGCTGCTCAAGCAGATCAGCCTGGCGCTGTTGCCCAGGACAGCATCCAGTTGACGTCTGAATATCTTCAAGGAGGGAGATTCCACAGTTTCTCTGGTCAGCCTGTGCCAGTGTTCAATCAACTCCATGGTACAAAGTTTTAAGAGGGAATCTCCTATGTTCCAGTTTGTGCTTGCTCCCTCATGTCCTGCCACTGAAAAGAGCCTGGCCTCATCATCTTTCCACCCCCCCATCAGATATTTATGTGCATTCATAAAATTTCCACCTCCCTCCCTACCCCCTGTAGCCTTCATTTTTCTAGACTAAACAGTCCTGTTTCTCTCAGCCTTTCTTCACAGGAGAGATATTTCAGGCCCTTCACCATCTCTCTGACCCTTTGTTGGACTCTCTCTAGTAGCTCTATCTCTGTCTTGTATTGAGTAGCCCAGAACAGGAAAGCATACTCCAGCTGGGCCACACTAGTACTGAACAGAGGAGAAGGATCACCTCCTTCAGCCTGCTAGTACAGCCCAGAATACCTTTATTCACCTTTGCCATAAGGTCACATCTCAGATTCACATTTAACTTGGTGACCACTGGGCCCTTTTGTGCCATGTTGCTTTCCAGATGCTCAGCCCCCAGCAGGTACTGGTGCAGGGGGTTGTTTTGTATTTTGTCTTGTTGAACTTTATAAGTTTCCTTTCAGCCTGTTTCTTCAGCCTTTTAAATTACCCTGGATGACAGTACAACCTTCCAGCAATAGCAGCTGCTTCTCCCAGTTGTGTGTCATCTACAAACTTGCTTGAGGGTACACTTTGCCCATCATCCAGAATATTGATATTGATGTTAAACAGGATTGGACCCCAAATGGACCATTGGGGTACACTGCTAGATACCAGACTCCAACAGGTCTTTGTGTCACTGAATCGGCACGCTCTGAGCTAACCTTTCAGCCCGTCATCAGCCTGTCTCACTATCTGCTCATCCAGCCTGTGTATCAACATCTTTCTGTATGAATCTGATGGAAGACACTGTGCTGAAAACCCTGAATTCTAGATAAACAATATCCACTGCTCATCAAAGCAGCTAGTCATTTCATTTTAGAGTTATCAGGTTGGTTAACAGAACTTTCCACCGGTGAATCCATGATAACTGCAATGTTGATTTGAAAGAAGTGGTTTTTTGTTCATTGTCCCAAGCAGGTGCTTAGTGAGAACAAGACTTCATCTATTTGTCTTATAGTTTCCTGCAAAAATGTAACTTTTTGCTTTTCCTTTAGATGGGCCTGGGTTCTGCAAGATGCTTTAGGAATTGCTTTCTGTCTTTACATGCTGAAAACAATTCGCCTGCCTACATTTAAGGTATGGATATTAAACAGATGTTAAAAGAGGAGGTTTTCCTGTATAGTTGAACTGAGGAGTCACTTACAGTGGAGTACTCAGAGATTTTAGTGTGTTTAGATTGTCAGAAAGCGGGGAAGTGAAGGTAAAAAGACCAGCAGCTCACACTCATGGTGTCCTTTTCTCTGTGAAGCTTAATGAAGAAAAATAATGAGTCTGGTATATGCTTCGAGTAACTTCTGGATCTTGAATTTTGCTGGTTATGGATTTTTCAGTAATTTAATCACACTCCCTTCTTTTAAACTCCCTGATTCATCAGCATCCTTCCTAAATAAAATAATATACCATAGAGCTAGGCATAGTCTTCCAGAAACACTGGAATCAGTTGGTTTACTTATCAACTGCACTGAACCCATAAACTTACCTTCCATAAGGTGGTGATCTCATGTTTTAGGTTTTATTAAAAATCAGTGCTGAAGCTCCAGGTCATGCAGATGTCATTAAATGTGATTCCCTCATAAGTTTTGCTGTTTGTGGAGATCTGTCAGCTGTGACTTTTCAGTCCTTCACTACGTCTATTTTGCTGCAAATCAAAGTAGAGTAGCTTACACCCCCTGGTTAGGTTTGGTGTTTCTTTTCCCCCAGAATAAGACGTATTGTGGGTGCAACATTCTGGCTCCTTCCAAGTCTTCCAGAACGTATTCAGCACTCTAAAATAAAAATTAGCACTAGCATTTAGTTGTTTCTCAGGCAGCTCTTTCAAACTCTGTTCCAAGTTATCTTCACCTGTACATTTTTTCCCATGTACACTTGCCAAGGAAATCTAAATACTGCTTTAAACTTTATGTAGAAAATGCAGAACTTTTCACTGTTTCCTAAAGTATTAAAAGAGTATTTCCAAATTCTACAGCATCAGGAATTTAAGGGACTAACATGTAATTTTCTTTTATTAGCTGCACATATGGTGAGATTCTTCTGTTTTTAAAATACTTGGGAATTCACATTTTGCTTTGAATACTCTTGAGTTGCTGATTATTCTCTGCTATCTACTAATGCATAGAATATAACTGTACACCAAGTATCTTGTCTCTTTCTCCAGGGTTGTACCTTGCTCCTCCTCGTTCTTTTTGTCTATGATGTATTCTTTGTATTTATCACACCATTTCTAACAAAGGTAAGTGAAATATTTTTCTCATGCCTGCTGCTCATAGAGCAAAGCAATGGCCTATTTATCTGTGTTCCTAAATAACCCCTGGACTGCTGAGTGATGTGCTCATTTACAGCTTTGCCCTTTTTTTTCTAGACTGGGGAGAGTATAATGGTGGAAGTGGCTGCAGGCCCATCTGATTCTGCCACTCATGAGAAGGTATTGTATGTAGTCTGAAAATAAAGCATTACGTTCCAGCTTTTAAGATTTCATCTTCTGTAAAACTCAAAGACCACAGATCCAAAATGGAAATGCCACTCCAAAAAGAATTTTGCATGGAAACAAGCACTTCAGAGCTCTCTGGAAATCTGCAATAGAAATGAAACAAAACAGACTTAGGTGACTCACCATGATAGGTTTGGTCTTGTATCTTGCTTTTAAAAGAAGGAAACTGATTAACTTGGTTTCACAAAAACGTGAGCCCCTATCTGTAAATAGGACCAATTCCTAATGAAGTATGTCCATTTTTTGCCTGAAGCATTTCAATTCATATGATGTTTGTCTCTTTCTTTCTCTCCAGCCAGCCCCGTTTTGATAACAGTTTTATGAAAAGCTGAGGCGAGGCAAAGGGGGGAAACTTAAACTGGAGACAGAAAAGTGAAGTCAAAAATCAGCAGTTCTGTGCCATTATAGTATAATTAGATACAATTACTTTGGCATTAATATAAGCAAAATAAATAAATAGTCTTTGATGTTATATATTAGAATATATATGTTTGCCCTGGGCCTTGCCGTACTGTGCCTCAACTCTGCAAATTGTATCTTAAGCAGAAACAGAAAAAACACACACAAAAAAAAGTCTTTGAAGTGATGGGAAAAATGACCTTTTGTAGTGATTCAAAAATCTTTGCACGTCTGATACTTTCATTGCATCCAGTAGAACCAAATCTAAAACTGTTTCTTACGCAAGTGGCAGCTAACCTCAGTTTTCCTACAGTTAAAGCAGAGTTCATACCCTACTGCATTTGAGGACTTTTAAATTAATATACAGAGTTGTGAGATGTCTTTCTTACTGAGAATTTAAATATTTCATTGCTCTCATGTCATAGAATCATAGAGACACCAAGGTTGGAAAAGGCGTCCAGGGTCTTCCATCCCACCATCCACCTACCACCAGTATTTCCCACCAAGCCATGTCCCTTAGTACCACATCTAAACTCAACTACAGTTTGTTTGCTGTCAGCACTGTTAACAAAATATACCTAACATAAGGATCTATAATGTAAATATATATGTATGCGTATACATTTGCTCTATCTGTAGTCTTCAGTTCCAACACAACAGGATCTGGTGTCAGTATATAGAGAAAAGTTTTTCATAGGGTTTATGTCTCTTCCATTCTAAGCTCCCAATGGTCCTGAAGGTCCCACGACTGAACTCCTCCCCACTGGCTCTGTGTGACAGACCTTTTTCTCTCCTAGGATTTGGAGACATTTTAGTTCCAGGTATTTCTTCTTTGCTGTGTTAAGAATTGTACCTGCTGCACTGTCAAATTAGTTCGTCCTCTTCTTCCACTTCAAACAGAAAGCTTGTGTTGACTTGTGTAAACTTGGTAAACTTTGAAGTATGTTTTTTTTTTTTTTTCCTGCACTTCTTTTCAGTAGGAAAATGCGTTTTAATTTTATGTTCAGTTGCTCACTCGGCGAAGTAGAGAAATGCAGAGAAATTTGAAGAGTTAATTCCACAAATGGTGTCTTGATATAGACATTTTTAATGGTGTGATGATGAGGAATCTACTTGTCCATTTGCCCATGATTTGAGGTGGCACATACCTGACCACTCAAAACTTAGTAATTACTAATCACACAGCATCCAGTGCTACCACCACACCTCTCCATATGGCACCAGATAGTATCTGCAAGTACACCTAATGCTATTGTAGCTGAAAAAAATGTGTATTCTGGCTTTCAGACTTCTGACAAATTATTTGTCAGTTTTCTTGTGTTCGGAAGCTTCAGCTGTTTGTGCTTTCCTCCCTCCCCCAACCCAATCTTACACTTAAAATTGTTGCTTTTAGAATATCATGTCTAACAAACTTATACCACCACTGGAGGTTATATTTCTTGTATTGATCTTCATGTATGGAGCTTCAGTTAGTTGGGAGAGAGATATTTCACAATATGTAACAAGTGCTGTTCATTCAAACCTGGTCCTCCAGGATCTCAGTATCTGTAGATGTTAACGTTGCTATTAGATTGCTTTGGCTGTGCAACTGCCTGTAAGCTGTGCAGTTTCCTGAATGATTCTGTCATAGCTCTTAAACATGGGAGTACAGAAGTATTGAAAACTATCTTAAAAGTCCTGAGATTGTTTGATGTTTTTGTTTATCTTAATATGTGGATGGGTTGAAAACATGTTATAATTGTTCTTTTCTTTCCTAGGTTTACTGGTGGCCTATTGCCATAGATTTGATATTCAGGTGCAATCATCCAGAGTATATTTTGTAGCCTGCACAATAGGTATGTTTAACACTGATATTTTGACACGTAGTATGCATTGTTATACATGCTTAGTTAATCATTCCAGATTTTTTGATTAATCAGTCCTTACATTTCTTGCATATGGAAGTTCAGGTTCAAGGATATTTTTATTTTGACTTTGTTCTTTACTTTTTGTGTGTTCCATGACTTGATGGCATAATGAATTACTTTATAATGATGTAATACCTTCAAATTGGTTCTAAATTGGTTTCAAACTTTAGTTTGTAGAATCCAGAGTTGCATGTTGTGGACTTCCAAGTGACTGCAAAATGCAATCTGACTTTATTGCAAAGACACCAGAAATCTGTATTCATGCCAGCAAAGACTTAATTTCCTCAAAGTTTTCTGCCAATATTCTGCTTTAGAAATCCTTGTAAAAATAGCTAGGTTCTTAGGAGACTCAAAGCAAGGATAGAAAAATTCTTTTATTTCAGTGGTTTTTTTTCTATCAATTTCTGCATTAATAAAGAGTTGACATTGTTATTGCAGGAATGGGAACTACCCACGTGCTACACTGTATTAACAAAATTAGGATCAGCAAGATGAGAGAAGTGATTGTTCCCTCAGTTTGGCTCTTAAGACTGAGTCTAGAACACTGTCTAGCTTGGGATCCTTTGAGAGACTTTGCCATGCTGGAGTAAATCCAGTGGCTGCATGCTGAAGCATATGGCACCCAAAGAAGAAAAGGCAAAAGAGAGAAGATTCTTTTGTTGTCCACAGTTATCTACTGTGAGAATGAAAGAGTAGTCTGACTGTAGTCTCTGTAAGTGTATAGGGAAGAGATAATATATGAGGGAATGAATGTAAGTCACAGAAAGAAAGATTTCAATCGAATACAAGGAACGCTCCCTCATCTACATTGATTTTGAATAACTGGATAAAACTATTACTGAGTGTTCCAATCATTTGGCTTCTGAACAAAAGTCAGTTGGTTCTGAAAATGTAATTGAAAATATTACCAAATATTGCCATATAAATGCTTTTGCTCTGCTTATATTCTGCAGAATGCTTGCAGTACTTAAAGGGAAAATAATTAATGACATAGCTGGCATTGTTGTTACTGAGAAACAGCCAAAGACCATCCAAACAAGGAGCATGTATTATAATAGTCAAAATAACCATCTGTATTGGGGCTCATAAATACAATAAGAGAAACAAAATATTTTATTTTCCTGCTCTGAAAGTGCTTAAGATAGTTTTTTGAATTGCACAGTGTGTGTAAGGCCAATCACAGTACTCTCACAACAGAAGGACAGCAGTATTTCACAGTACTGTTCCAAATTTATAATGTATACACTGTGCTTATGTTTTAAAAAGTTGCTTTACATATTACATGGATAAAGAATCCTATAAGAATGCTTATTTAGCAAATTATTTAGTTGCTCTTGTGTCAAGCTATGCCCCAATAACTTCTTTTTTGCTGGTTCTGTTTCCTTCCAGCATATGGCATAGGCCTTCTTGTGACCTTTGTCGCCTTGGCACTGATGCAGATGGGTCAGCCAGCTCTGCTCTACTTGGTACCCTGCACTCTAATCACCAGCTTTGCTGTGGCTCTTTGGAGAAAGGAGCTTGCAATGTTCTGGACGGGCAGCGGCTTTGCGGTGAATACCAGTTTGATATGAGTGTCTTCAAGAAATACTAATATTATAAAAACCTAACTAGAATTAAAGTTGAGTAAAATATTGTAGTATTATCCACCAAAGCCAAATATTTTTACTTTTTTTTTTTAATGCACTTTTTTCCCTAGGTAATGTTTTCATTTTCTTTCTTTAATGTTTATGGCCACTTAAACTGACTAGTGAAAAGTAAAGTAGAACCCTGTCTATCCTTCATTCTGCCACAGTTTTACTGGTTTGATCTTTGTTGAAAGTATCATTGCCATTTTGGTAAGTAGCTCCTTAAAAAATATTTATCTTCCTATTTTTTCCTAGTCTACTGCTTATAATGATCTAGTTAAGTACAGTGAATCATCATGTGATGTTTCTCTGTGGTATAAATGAAACTCATTTGATTCTGAATGGAATGATTTCTATTATGAGGCATGACTGTAGATTGTGATGAATTACCCTGAAGTGAAGAATCTATCTAGCTGGAGGTTCTCTCCCAGTGAGATTTATTTTTTTCCTCAATTATTTTTTTTTATAACCTGCACAGCCTTCCTCTAGAGAACTGATTTAATTATTGAAAAAATTAGTGAGCATCCAGAATGTGTTGGAAAAGTTGCTGGTTGCCATGAACTGATAGTAAAAGTGATCAAAACCAGAGAATGCAGAAGTGCCAAAGTGCTGTCTGCTTGTTCCTGAGTAATCAACAGAGCACGGCTGATTTCAGTGAGGAATCATCCAGCTACAGATTCTGTTTCTTTCATCTTTTCCAGACTTTAATTCTTTATTTCTGTTAATTGGTACAACCCATCTCTTTGGTCATTGTAGATTGCTTACAGTTCCTGACATTGTACAGACAGTAATGTTCTTGTTTTAAATTCTTTTTAAATTCTTTAAATTCTTTTAAAATTATTTAAAATCATTGTTTTAGAGTCCTTCAGTAAGAACACAAAATGTGATGGAACTGCTTGAACCAGCAAATTGCATTTCTTATTATTACAGAAAGCCCAGTAGTATGCAGTTAGCTGGGTAGGGCCTGCAGGAAATCTGTCACAACTGATAAACCAAGAATAAGGGATTAAAACTACTGCTGTTAATATCACCCAACGATTACAATCAAATAAATGAAAGGCAATCCCTTATAAACCTGTAATAGCAGGACACCCAGGAATATTTATTATTGTGAATAATAAAAGTTTGGTGAGGTTTAAAAAGCTATTGGACAAACCCCTGGAACAAAAATCCCCTTGTGCACCCTAAATGGCAAAGGCAGGATAACTGTATGCACGTGTCTGTCACTGGAGAATGGTAAGGGATGTTGTGCCTTCTGTCTTCGCCTCGTGTGACCATTTTGATCATACCTGACACCTGGCTGGAGTTGAATATGTTTGTTGGAAATTCTAATATCTCTATAGTTCATTCTGCTCTTCATAGCAGTAATAATTTCTGCTTTTCATCACTCTGTCGTCTTCCGTTTGCAGAAAGACCTACCTCAGCCTCCCTTGGTGATAGCTTCTGTCAACTGCCCTCAGCTTCCTAAAGATAGCAACGTACCAGCTGCTCAACAAGAGACAGAGGAAATGGCCAACCCTACCCTCCATGTGAAGGAGCTGCACAGCCCTACCTTGGCTGCAGAGGAGCCAGCTGATAACGACACAAAGACGGAACAGTCAGAAGTTTCTATCACAAAGAGTGAGGAAACACTTGGGCACAAGGATGACCTGGAAAGTAAATCTCTAAACCTCGAGCAAAAACAGCTGGAATAAACAATTTGATAGGAACTCCGTATTTTCCCTTACAAACGTTTGTGTAAAACCAGTATGTATTTAGACTGGTTCTGTAGTATTCACGTTCATTGAGGAACCTCGGTGGGAGTCTGATCATCAAATCCAACAAAGAATGTTCTGCCTCCAGCTTTGGTACAGCTATATACTTCAAACATATTTGAAATATGGTGCTCTACAAGGGTTCTGATGTATGGATTTCAATTATCATTTTATTAGTGAATGCCTTTGACTGATCCATTTTAATTATACCAGGGTAGTATTACGAGTCTTTATTTACACAGTACTCTGTGCTTTGTGGCTATTTTTGCTGCTTTAGCATAGTGCAGGTTAACGTGGAAGAAAAGCATTGAACAAGTCTGCTACAATGCTTAGCTGAAAGAAACACAAGAGGACTTTAGCACTTTCCCTATTGTCATCTTTTACTTTTTCTACTTGTCAAAGCCATTGATGCAAGGGAATGCTTTAGTATAAGCTGACATTCAGGAAATGCAGAGAGTGGTTAAATTGCCAGCCTCTGAAAGGATTTATACTACCAAGGTGCATTAAATGCATCTCTTAAACTTCTTTCTTTTTACTTCCAGGTACCTGTGTTGGCTACTAGTCTAGTTTAAAAGGTAGGATGAATGGAGCTCCAAGAAGCTCACTAAGCACTCCATGAACTCCAGGGATTGTCTCTGAAAAGGTGTTTGTGACAGAGCACCCCTGGTAGAATAAGGATATTAAGAATGTTTGCGTTAGAAATGAAATTCGAGCCAGATAAATAAGCAAACAGGGAGTGACGTTAAACTAAGCTTGCTTATTTTCATTGGGGAAAATGTTACAGTAAAACAGCAAAAAAAAAAGTAAAACCTCAAGAGCCCAAACTGATGAATTTTAAGGAACATAGTTGTGGTCACTAACTGAAGAAAAGTCTGATGTTTTCATTCTCAAGGGAACACTCGGTGCTATTGTAGGTTGTGATTTAGAGCTACTTGCTGCTTAGTAGCCAATCAGCTGCCTCAAATAATGTTTTGTCTTCATCCCAGGAGTATCCCAGAAGCATGGCCTGTCAGGCTCTGGAAAGAGGCTGTGATCTATTTTGCCCCTCTTGCTAAGTGACATGGCAGAGGACACAGTTTGTAAGTGTAAAACTATTTGGGGTGCAGGTGGTCTTAATTTATATTCCTGAAATTAGACATTTTCTTGTACGTGATTGAGTCTTTTATGCATCTTTTATGGGGAGATGATGAGATTTGTGTACCATTTGTTCTATATACGAACATATGGCTTTATCATAAGCATTTGTGTTTTACATTTAAATTGTAGTGCCCTAATGCCTCAAACACTTCATGTTAAAACTGAGAAAGAAAACAAAAGTGTTCTAGGATCCTGGAACACATTTCTAAATTGCATGGGAGAAATGCTTTTCAGAGCATTTGAGTCTAAAGCATCATTTACAAAAGCATCAGCATTTTGTCCCAGTCTGAGGCAATGATTTTAAATTAAGAGTCTCCAGTTGGCGTGTTGAGTTGAATTCCAAAAGGTTCTCCTTTAATGTCTGTCTGTTAAACTTCAGCCTTCATCTCTTTGGCTGGGTCTTCCAGAAGTTTGCCCTGTGGTTTTCTTTTTTGGATGCTCATTTCTCATCTGTTTAGCATTGGGTGGGTAATATTCTTTCTCTGGAATGTGGAAAGATTTCTGTAAAACTACAATGTGCAATCAGAAGTTTTGCCCTCTTCTTAAAGCCCTGCCTGATAGGTTGATTTCATAGCATAAGTCCCAAGTCCTGCACTGCATTTAATTTATGAACGACCCAAATGGAAGATAGTAGTATTAAAGACATCTGGGTTACTTTTGTTCTTGTTTTCTTCAGTCTCCTCTTTGATGGATTATGTCTGCCAGTGGTAATCTGAATTTCAACTAACTAAAAAGCAACGGAGGCATTTAACTGAAAATATCAGCCAGCTGGATTATGCCTTAATTTAAACCATTGTATAAGTTTATATATAAAGAAAACAATTCTGTGTTTCAATAATGAACTTGACAAACAGTGATAAAAGTTTGGAGAACGGCTCCAAGTTCTATGGTTTTTTTTTTGCTTTGATTGTTTTTCAGTCATAATACTGTAGGGAGTAATTTTTGTACACCGAGGTCAGTAGTTTTCTGATGATGAAGCATTAAGTTTTATCACCTTCTTGAAAATGTATTTTAACATTTGTTCTCATGTGGGTTAGGAAGCAGTTTATTTCTCAAATTGTTTATAACTCGATGAAAGTGGAAGATTTATAACACTGATTAAGTTGTGTACACCTGGTAGTTGCTTTATGTTTCATTCTAGATGGGTCTGCATATGCTTCACCTTCATGTTTTGGATGGTTGTCCATCTACTTAAGTGTAAGTTTGTTGTGTGTGTTTTTCTTCTTCTCAAACTACGAATATCAGAGTGGGGGAAAAAAATAGTTACTCAGTGCAATATCTCCAGTTAAAGTATATAAACAGTTACATACTTTGACTATTGCAGTACTGTACACCTTTGGTGCACCAGTTTGGCTGCGACTGTTTGGACCCTGTTCAATCACTCCCATCAAACCAAGGTTGTGCTTTCCTGTCTTTCCCCGAATGTAAAATTTAATGTTGTACAGGAAATTGTCAAACTATGTTCAGTGTAGTTCATTCTGATTTTATTTGATGATTGCAGATGTACATCCCACACTAAACTTGAGTTAAAAGGCTGCTTTTGGAGTAATGTTAAAGTGCTTCGTTTTTAATGCTTTGGATTGCCTGAGCAGCAAGGGACAGATTCTTTCCTGGGTCAGAAGTTACTAACCGTGAGTCAATGCATTGGACTGACTGGGTTTGACTTGTATCCTCCTGAAGGGTTGCACAAATGCAGCTGAAACCAGAATGTGACATCAAGGATCCTCATGGGAATGGCAAGGGAGAAGTACCCCAAATCCTCTGTTAATTTACGTGAGTCTTTTTCTCTTGTCACATTTCTTTTACATTCACAATATCAAATTTCTGGATTTTGTTGGGTTTTTTTTACCTGATTGCCTGATCTCACACAATCAGTGCAACCTGTCCTGCACAAGCTGCTCTTTTTTTTTTTCATTACAGTAGCCCTCAGTCTGTCTGTTGTTATGAATGCCTTCCATTTTTCAGACATGCCCATTTCTGTGCTTTAGAATTCTTTTTTTTGTGTCTGTGATGCATCATTATTTTTGGCCATAATGTTAATGCCAGTTGATTTCTAAGTACGCTGTGAAAAACCACAGACTGTGGAGCCAGGAAGAAGGTAGCTACTGAACAGAGCTGCAGTAATACAACATAAAGCTTTGCTGAAGGTGACTGCATCCATCAGTCAAACAACACAGCATCTGGGAAATGGGTATTTACCTGCAGTTCTTCTTTTGCTCTGTAGCTTTGGTGGGCAGCAGAACGCTCAGTTATCGTTTTGTTGGGCTTTGTTCTTCTTAAAGCTGTTTCAAAATGGAATTGTTGGGTCACCATGTGTGTTCAGTGCCTCCTCTGGATGTTTCACCCTACAGGTTGTAGAGCTTTGTTACTGACTTAGAACATTTCTCAGTTCTCTGCTTAACTTCTTTACTTCCTATTAAATGCCTTTGGCCTTGAAGGATTCCTTCCTTCCTTCCTTTCATTCAGCTGTTTCTATACCTCCCCTGGCTAGCCCAGTAAAAATTAAAAAATGAAAGCAAATAAGAGGATGCCTATAATGGCTCTTGAGGTGAGTGCTCGCATACAGCTCTTTTATTGTGAGATCCTACAGTTCTGCCCTGCAGTTTTGTTTCTGTCTTCTCCCTATCCCATAGTTGTGTAGTGCATGTATCATTTTTCATGTAGCAATGGCATTAGAATCAATAGATGTGGGGTTGGCAGTGGGGAAGAAGACCAGATAATAATTGCAGCAGCTGGCCAGGGAAGCACAGGAAACCTTAAGTCCAGAAAGGGGAGTTTATAGGTCAGTGGGAAGGCATTGTGGTTGACAGTTCAGATCTCACCTTCCAGAGATGTGTTTGGTTTTGTCTTGCTAATGTGAAGCCCGTAAATCCCCGGGGCAGAAATCACATCAAAGCACACGTTAAATAGTTGCAGTGCTTTTTCTACCAAGATAAGAAATGTTGTATTTTGAAATGTAGATGGAGTTGCATTGAAAGGCACTCTGGAATGTTCTCATTTCAGTAATACGCTTTTCTGTGAGTCTTTCACCTTTGAATATCAAAGGTGAAATATTCAGGCAAATATTCAGGTTATGCGGTGGGAGAATGAGGTTTCACTGTCTTTAGATAATACACGAGGGCCTTAAATTGAGTTTCTTGAACCAGGAATGAGTATATTTACACCAAGTCATCATTTCAGGCATTAGTACAGAACTTAACCTGATTTTATGCAGTTCATTTGGTTTCAGTTCATTCCTCCAGCAGTTCTTGGGAATGCTGTGGCTCTTGGTCCTATCATTGATCCACTGGTGGCCATGGTTATGAGTGGGCACTCTCCTGGTCTGATTTGGAGTTGCGTTCTCTTAACTGAAGACAACAATTGAGTTTATCAGATTTCTTGTTGTACTTTCCTGCTTGTTAACATTCCCTATCTTTGTGTACGGCAAAACCTCATCTTAGGGAAAGCTTTGAAATGATCTAAAGGCTAGAAATCTGGAGTTGAGCTACAGCTCTCACACACACTCTGTGATTTGAGCTTCCTTTGGGTGTTCAGTGTGAAAGTTAGTTAGCTGAAAATATGCAGAGATGGGTCTGTGTGGGGAGACAGCCCTGTTCTGTCTGAGTGGTGTCAATGGCAGTGGTCTGAGCTGCTGTAAGTAGTTGTTGCCCACTTTTCGTGAGCTTGTTCTTTGTCACTTGCCCTCTCCAAGAACTGAATAACTCAGTGGGACGAGACCTTCAAAGATCATCACGTCCAACTGCCCGACCTCTTTGGGGCCAACCAGAACTGAATGAGGGCATTGTCCCAATGGGGCATCCACCACCTCTAGGAAATGTGCTTCACACCTGAACTGCAGGGCTGCACATCAGCTTCATCCTGTGGAGATGTGATGTCTCAGCACTTCAGATGAATCTCTTCAGCCCTACAAGTCCCTGACAGATAGGCTCAGTTTGGCAACATAGGAAAGCAAAACTCCCTTTTGTAAATGCACATTTTTCATTACAGCTGTGGTGGTGGATGATCTATGTGCTGTCCTCATCACAGTACTTTGGTTTTTGTACAGCCCATTGCTGGAGGAGCTGGGGATCTGGCAGCCAAGTCTGAGCAATGCTAACGAGTCACTGGGATGTGTGGATCAGACAGGAGGCTGTGGGCAAACAGCAGTATGAACAGGGTTTGTGGGGTAAGACTGGAGAGTATTTGCTCAGTGCTGCTGTCCTGGATGTTGATAGTAAGATTTTTTAGGGAGCAGGAGGTAACATCAGTCAACCAGTTTTAGATGTCCAGTGTCTCTGTTAAGGGGCTTTATGATAACATTCAGATAATAGCACATAGGGTGGAGTTGTGAAGACTGCAAACTCTGAAGGTTATTCCTTTTAGTGCTTGTGAATGCATCCACTTAATTATAAAAATAAACCAATTGTGAGTACACACACTTTTCAAGCTCTTGTTCCATGAATTACTGAAGGAAAGTCTTTCAGTGTTCCAAAAGCCATGCTGTGATTTTTACTACTGCTGAGCCTTTGCAGTTTGGCCCCTTAATAAAACTAAGTGAATAATTAAAACTGAATAAAAATCCCCACTGAGGGAGTTGGCTGGGGTAGGAAGGCTGTGGCATGAAAGCTCTGTTCAAGTATCCTTCCTGCACATGGGCTGTTAATGCCACATGCACTGAAGCTGTGGGAAGGAGATGCAGAAATGCAGATGGGTCCGAAAGAGAAGGAATTTGGTTCTCTATAACGATGCAGTCAGTCATTAACAGTGCTGATAGCTGAATATCCTTCCCTGATTTTATCTCGCATCTCATTTTATTTTGGCAGCAAGCCAATAAATTGTATTGGTTTCATAGTTTAATTGGCTTTGTGGCCAAACTATAGGCAGCCTCGTGTGAATAGCGTCCCTTTGCACAAACTGCAGAAGATGTGGTATTTGCTAGGTGGTCACTTGGAAAATTGCTGCTTGCTGTCTGCAAGAATAGATAAACCAGTGACATGGGGACTTGTATCTGTAGTATATCTATGGTAGAAGTAAGGCCTGGTGGTGATTGTTTGTAACAAAACATGTTCCTTTCTTGGTACCATCAACTGCTGAAAACAGCCAAGAGCCATTGCAGCAGCTGAGAGAAAAACATCATTTCCAAGTCGTAACATTTTGGCAAACATTTCTGTTTTTCAGAGGTTGTAGGTCCTCCTGAAATACCCACATCAGCTCCCTGGTTCTGTCTGGGTGCGTTCTTCCCACTGTATTCCCATGCAGTTCCATGGTTTTGAGGTCAGCCCTTCATCTGTCTGATCTGCAGCCTCGTGTCTGGCTGCACAGCGAATCATCCCAGCTATTTTTGTGTGTGCAAATGCATTGCAAGACATCACGTTTCCAGTCACCAAATGTAGGTTTGTTTCTTCCTTCTGTGATTTAAAACATGGGGGGAGGAAAAGAAAACTACAACCCCACCTATTGTGTAATTAGCACTGGGGGGAGATGTGAGGACAAGAGCTGATTCGTATCCCAGGGGTTTCACTGGGGTGCTCTTGCTGTCTTTTCCATGGGGTTTTCCATGTTTGCCTGTTTGGGGCACACACCTATATGGTAAAAGAAAACAAACTTGAAAAAGACTGATCCGCTGAAATTGCTGTGTTGTTTGTTTTTGGTTTTTTTTTTCATCTGTTTTGCTTAAGAAAAAAAAAAAAAGGACTTTAGCCTGTTTTAGTTAAAAAATGTAAAGATTTTCTAAACCTGTAAAATAAAGATACTTAATTTTTGAACTGAATTTTGAGTTTTGTATCACTGTTACATTTGAAATCCGATTGTGTGCTTTTTCTTCTTTGCACTAAATGTGACAAAGTGCTTCTTATGATGTAAGACACCTTGAACTGCTCACACATTGAAGTGCCCAAGGAAACCTGAGTTGAATATCCATACAAAACTCCTAAAACTTATTTGTGGCCTTCTTGAGTCTTCTGTTCACATGCAGGACTCGAAACAAATCCTGAAACAGTCAACAGGAATCTCTCTCTTCCTGCTGCCAGTTCTCCCCTAGTGGGATCGTGGTACAGACAGGACCAACCAGCTCTGGGGCTGTTCCAGTGATGGGAAGGGAAGGTGAGCACTAACAAACCCTCTGTTACTGCAAGTCTCTAAGGAATCAGAGGGCACGGCATGGAGGTATGGCACGAACAGGGTGGGTGTATTTCCACTCTACTCTTGTGTTCATGTTGTTGGTATGTCCCACTGAACCACAGGGGGTAGAAAGGACCTTGAGGCTGAATGCAAGCCCCTGCTAAAGCAGTTCCCTACAATAGGTCACACAGGTAGGCGTCCAGATGGGTCTTGAATATCTCCAGAGAAGGAGAATTCATAACCTCTCTGGGCAGCCTATTCCTGTGCTGCATCACCCTTACAGTAAAGACATTCTTCCACATGTTTGTGTGGCACTTCTTTGTTCAAGCTTTAGGCCATTACTCCTTGTTCTATTCTATTATATTCTTTTATTGTAATTCTATCATAATAGAATTATTCATAAAATTATAGAATTGTTTGAGTTTAAAGGGAACCTTAAAGGCCATCTTATCTCACTTCCTTCACTGAGCGGAGACATTACAGCTTCTCAGCTGCCCAGAGCCTCCAGCCTGAGGAAAGAATGAAAAACTTGTGTGGTTTTAACGTTTGTATCACTCTATCTGATGCATGCATAAGTAGGCACCAAGGACCTGTCCTGCGGGACTATTTCTTCACCTGCAGGCCGTTTCTGTCAACTGTTCACCTGCCTTCCTCAATTTGCAAGAATCACCTCGGGGTGATTCACCTCTGGAAGGAAAGGCTGCATTCTCCAGCAGTGATACTCAACTGATGGAAGCACAGGAACTGGTTTGCAGAGATGCTGCCTGCCTGCAGGCTGTCCTCAGGGCCACTCTGAAACTCCCACTGCAGAGCTCCTGCACAACCACGTGAGGACCTTCACTCCATTGCCCAGTTGCAAACAGGTTTGTTGTCTCACACCACTGCATTTTCTTTGTACACGTGAGTAAGTGGGGACCCCCGGCCCACCCAGGGCCACGATGAATTGCACTGAGTGTGCATGAACAGCCCTGATCCTCAGCTACGCCACAGCTGTACCTAGAAGACAAAGCTGAGTTTATATTTATACTCCACTGATGCCCAGGTTGTTTTCTGTCTCCCTTTTCAGTTGTTATCGCAGCATCATAGAATGGCTTGGGTTGGAAGGGACCTCAAGGATCATGAAGCTCCAATGCCCCTGCTGCAGGCAGGACCATCCAACCTGGCCTTGAACACCTCCAGGGATGGACGGGGCATCCACAGCCTCTCTGGGCAGCCTGGTCAGAGCCTTATCAAAGCAATAGAACCGGGGCACACAACCACTGAACCCAACTGTGTTTCTCCCTATGTCATCAGCTTTCCCAGGGGTTAGAATGAGAGGACTCGTCTTTGAAATCCTTTCATGTACAGCAGAGAAGAGGGACGGAGCGGGTTTGGGATCGGAGCGCCCTGCGGTGCTTTCTGTGCGTCGGACAGTGCCGTCCAGCGCCCGCTCGGTGTTACTGAACCTCGCCGAGCAGTTCTGGTTACCGGGACGAGCTCAGCCCTTCCGGCACCGCTTTTCCCTCCGTCCTTCTGCTGAAACTGCTGAATCGAAGAGAGCCGCAGAGCGAAGCACAGAAACCACGTCGCGGGCTCAGAGCTCGGATGTCCCCGCTCGAATTTCCAAACAGGAGGAGAATTTGCGCCTCGGGCCGGAGCCGGGCAGGAAAGCGGGTCCGCCCCCGGCACCGCCCCGACCTGCGGGCACGGCCGGGCAAACGCGGCGGCGGCGGCGGTCGGAGCAGCACCGCAGGTGAGTCCGTGCCGTCCGAGCGGCCTCTGCCTTCCCTCGCGGGTACCATCCCCTCTCGAGGCGCGGCGCTGCCCGGTCCCGGTGCTGTCTGGTTTTGGTGATGCCCGGCTCTGGTTGTGCCCAGTCCTGGTAGGCTGCCTGGCCCTGGTGCTACCCAGACCTCATGCTGCCTGACCCTGGTACTGCCCGGTTCTGGTGCTGTTTGGTTCTGGTATTGCCTGGCGCTGGTACTGTCTGATCCCGCTGCTGCTTGCCTAGTACTGGCACTGCCTGGTTCTGGTACTACCTGGTCCTGGCTGCTTCCAGGTCCTGGTTCTGCCTGGTCCTGGTGCAGCAGCCTTGGTACTGCTTGGTTCTGGTACCGACCAGTTCTGGTACTGCCCGGTTTTGGTGCTACCTGACCCTGGTACTATCCAGTCCTGGTAGTGCCTGGTTCTGGTACTGCTACCTGGCGTTGGTACTCCTCCCCAGCCCTGGTGCTGCCCTGTCCTGGTACTCCTGCCCAGCTGTGATGGTGCTGCTGCCCAGCACTGGGCTCAGGCAGAGCTGGTGCCACTTGTTTCTGTACATCAAACCTTCTGTTAAGAACCAGAGATGCAAATAACTTCACTGCTTCCTATGTAGCCACTGCTGGCCCAATAGTTTTCCTTATTATGTGATCCTTTTGTGGTTTTAGTGCTGTTTTTTGTTTCGTTTGACTCTGAAGTGGCACTGTTGAGGTTTGGAGCACTGCAAAAGTGGAACTGTGATTGTGGAGGAGGTTCAGCCTGTCTAGATGCCCATCTGAAGGAACAAAACTGTCTGTGGTAATGTGCTCAGCACTGAATCTCTGTGGGTTTGACACTTTTTTTTGCCAGAGGTCCTCCAAGGTCCTCCAAGGCGGTATCTCCTGGTGCAGCAGGGTGCTGCTCTGCTTGCCTCTGCAGTCACTGTGGGGCAGTGCATTTCAGATGGCTGCAGCTGAAGGAAGCGCTGTGAGTTAAGCTGGTGAGTTTTTCTTGCCCATTCATCAGCTGAGAAGTATCATATTATATAGCGCTCCTATTGTGAGAAGGACAAAAATGGAACTTCCTTGCTTACTGGATACTCCCAGAGCAAATTTAGTATTTACTATCTGCGCCGTATGGTCACAGGAAGGCAGCCTTTGTTTCACCCCCTGACACATAGCTGGAAGTTCAAAAAGAGATTGCGGGTCCAGATCTCTCATGGTGCTCTCTCACCATGGGGGGAGCTCAGGGCTGAGCGTCCCTGCTGTGGAAATGCTGTTAGAGCCTTTGTTAGCAGGATAATGGGAGAGCTGCGCTGCTCAGCCTGTCATGAGCTGAGCTGCAGAGCTGGCAGGCAGGAAGAGGATCTTCTTACTTGTAAATTGAGAGACATTTGAAGTCCGAAAGGGACAATAAACAAGGCCCACACAGTGTCACTGCATTTGCTGAGAGCGGCTGAACCAGACGCGCCTCCAAAGGGATGCTGCAAGGAGGCAGAGTACAGGAGCATTACTAATCCTGCTTTGAATCCTATGAACGGTGCACCCAGAGGTTTGTTAGCATGCAAGATGCTCACGGTAACAGGCAGACAGTACTGGGGGCGTTTTGCTGATTTACATGAGCAGAAAAGAGGTTTCTCAGCTCTGGTCTTACCGCCTCCTGGGGGATGGAGGGCATTTCATCTGGCAGGAGGCAGGGCTGGACTCACAGCTGCAGCACAGCCCCCTAAAGGAGAGCCCATGGAGATGGGGGGACATACCCAGCTCTGCATGTGCATGTTGCAGAAGTTGGAGGTGGGATAAAGCAAAAGGCTGAAGCACTACAATTAGTTGGTTCAGGAAACTGCTTTGGTGGCAGGAGATGCTCGTTGCACGTGAAACATAAAGGCCAGGTCTGTCAGAGCCAGCTTGGCTGTGACACATGTGGACATTCTATCTTTGCTCATTAAGCACTTCTTGATCTGGAGCCGCCAAGCAGCTTTGTTGTTTCTGTGTTCTACCTGCTGTCTCCTCTCCTCTGCTCCAGCTCATGGTTTGCTGGTATGATTCATTCTTTTGGCAGCAGTGATTTGGAGCTGAACTGAACTCACCCAGTGGGGCACACTGCAGTTTGATTTTCCCTTTTATGTTTTCTCCTTCCAAAGAGAGGCGGTTCTGCTTCCACAACAAAATACCACAAGTCTTACCACGGTGATAAATCATCGGTCCTTTGCTCACCCTTCACCAAATGCTCACTCCTTCCCCAGGCTGCAGGTGGGTTTTTTGCTAAGCTTGTTGTCCCCTAGTCAAGTCACATATTTCTCATACCAAAGGCTCTGTCTGGGAGGCATGGCCTTAGACCATGAGGCATTGTGAGATGAGATCTCAGCAGTGCTAGGTATTGCTGTGCTGAGATCTCAGGCTACTCTGTGATAGTCCCAGCCTACTGGGGATAATGCCAGTTAATGTTTTATTACCTTCTTCAAAAGGTTGGAGCACACTGGCTTATTTTTATGACTGTAGTGGTAGAATGAAACATCCAAATATGCAACACAAAGACTCCAGTCTGGACCTTGCCATCCAGGGACATCAGGTTGGATATGAGGAAAAAATTTCTTCTCTAGAAGAGTGGTCAGGTGCTAGAATGGGCTGCCCAGGGAGTGATAGAGTCTCCATCCCTGGAGGTGTTCAAGGAGCGCCTGGATGTGGTACTGAGGGACATGGGTTAGTGAGGATATGTTGGTGGTAGGTGGATGGTTGGACTGGGTGATCTCGGAGGTCTTTTCCAACCTTGGTGACTCTATGATTCTATGATAAGGGTTTTCTAGCATTCATTATCTGCTGCAGACTGAATTAAATTGACTGCTGAGGACACATTTCGCGCTGTTCCTTCCCTGTGTCTTTTTCCTTCCTCCTTTTCAAGGTGAGAGGCTTGGCTCCCCTCGTGGTGCTGCTCAGGGATGCTCTCTGGTAGACAGCAACAGAGAAAGATGGGGAGCAGGAGGGAGCCTGGGGCAAAGCAGTGTGAGATACGTGAGTGAGCATTCCTGTTTTGAAGGGGGGAGACTAAATGTAGAGTGGAGAGGACTGAGAAGATGGGAGGAAAGATCTGAGGAGGTGGGTGAAAGGCATCAGCAGTGACCAAAGAGACATCAGTCCTTGTGGCAGAGATAGCCATCAGCACAATGGAAGGTCACCATCACGTCTCCACCTCAGGTGCTTTCACATTTTGCAAGAGCTGGCGTTAGTGATTTTTTCCAATGAGAAGGAATTCTAACTGCTCACAAGATATATTCTGACAAGAATCCGTAAATGTGCGTTTTCTTCTCAACATTCCCAACACAAACTCATGATCCTCTGAGAGTTAACGCTCTTCTGCCCCTCAAGATTTGCTTGTTGCTGCTCTGTTTTTATGCAGAGATGTTGTTGAACTGCATAGCTCCTTGCTGCTCCTCTCCTTCATGTATTTACAGATGATCCTTATCTTGCAGCAGTGAGAAATGTCCACCCTCTGCTATGCTCTTGCAATATGGACCTACTGTTTACAAGTCATCATCATCTTTTTCTCTCTTCTGGCTTAAACTGTTGATAGGTATATAGGTTACTAGAACTGAATATAATATGAGATTCCACCTCTCCTTTGTTCATTAGTGCTGTCCCACTTATTGGAAAAATATTCTACCAAAAGCATAAGTTAAACCTTGAGAGGGAAAAAAAAAGCATGCAATAATAACAAGTTCAGATGTCAGAGAAACAACCAGCAACCTGTCCTTCTCTTTGGACAAAGAGATTTTTGACATATCTGTTTTTAGCTCAATGTCTTTCCTCGTGTGCTGTGCCAGCCCCACTTTCAGATAAGGAATTACCTACAAGAGCACCACTGCTGCACTTCTTCCCTCCCCATAACCCTTCCAGAGCATCAGGAATGACCGAATCATACAAAGATTCAGGACAGAGATATGGAATAATTATTACAAAATCAGAGAGACACTGAATCAAGGAGGACACCATACACAAGAGAAAAGCCCCCGGAGGCTCCTGGGAGAAGTGCTGATGCTGATTCCTGTCCTTGTCTCCCTTCTGATTCAGCAGTAGCTTCTTCTGAAGTTTAGTTTCAGCCAAGGGACAAACTGACAAGCTTCCTTTCAACATCCCTCTTGCCTACCTCTTCCCCATCATCAGAGGTGGTAGAGGTGCATTGGAGCCCTCACACAGCTCTGTGTGTCCATGATTTCTCGAGGAGGCACAACATGGAAGGACACATGCGGGTCAGCACGGCACCGGAGCAGCCAGGTAGAAAGGCAGATGCCATGGTATCACACATCTCGTGCAGTCTTTTTCTGAGATTTTGTCCATCCCACCAAGATGTACTGCGAGAATTTCTGCCAACAGTTAATTTGGGAGAGCTCAGTAACACCTGTCCTTAATTGTCAA